TTAGAGTTTTGGTTTTTTTTTGTTTCGAGGCACGGAACCCTAAAAACAAAATTCACCCTTCGCTACAGGTAAATAATAAACCAACCACGCGTATCTAACCACGCAGATCCACATTAGCGTCGTGTAAAATAGTACTTGTGTAAATTAGTAAGTACTTCGGTTTTTCGAAGAAGTAATTTTACAAATTGTCATTTATTTTTAAACCTTATCCGTTTTAAGATTTTTGCCAAACCAATTTCATGTAAAAGTTTAATTAGTAAGGAGTCTCCAATATCTTTTTAGATTTTTGGACCAGTAGTTGTGAAAATCGAAGGGGGGGAGACCACTTTTTGTGACGGACAGATTGACAGGCCGAAATTAAAAGATTTCCTTGTTTATCACTACGGACCCCGAATAAATGGGTTGGGTAGTACTTACCTTTCCAATCTAAATCACTCACAGTATCTTGTCTATGAAAAAATGAAGAAATTTTGGGCACTTTTTTTATAACCTCTTCCCTTTTCCGTTTACTTTTTCTTTTCTCAGCACCGCTGGGATAATCTCTTTTCCTTTCACTCATTTCTTTTACAAATCGCTACTAATATTGTTAAACCACCAGAACAATATTGTTTGTACTGAATTACAATGTAATGCACAATTACATAAAACGCGTAAATAAACACTGCACTGCACTCCGTGGTTTAACATCCAATATAGAGTATGTACGTACACGTTCGCGATATCGATTTTATTATTGAGGGATTCCCCGCTGAGTTGCAGATGAAGTAAGTAAAACGGGGAAGTCCCACAGCCCGCCATAACGATGTACAGTGTTGCCAACTTTTGAACGCACGCTTAAGGCGGTATAAAAAGTAATTGCTTTATAGAATTTTGTCATTTGTAAAATAAAATAAATTAGGAAGTTTTTATTTCTTTTTCCTTACACACTTTGGGGGCCCCCGTGGCCCGGGGGCCCCGTATAATTGATACGGCAGATACGGCGGTAGCTACGCCCCTGGTAATTGAATACTACCCAAGTCTAAATCGTGTATAGAATAAAATCCTATTTTTTTACAGAAGGTTAAATTGAGTTTTGTAGGACCTGGGTATATCATTAAAGGTCTTCGTGTATCTAAAATCACCTACAAATCATATACGAGTAGTACCTAAGTGAAAAGCTATGACCAATCAACTTTATTTCATAATAAAGTATTATCGCTTCAAATAGATTCCATCTGGAAGCGAATATACATTTCCGTAAGCTTATCTATTCTGTTATTCTCATCATTCTCAATAACAATCTACATGAAGATCCGAAAATCATCTGTATAACCTTCAAAGTATGTTCAGGTTATCTACTGCCGAAAATGTTGTTGTCTGAAATTACTTGTGGGCATCATAACGCTATCTCTTAAATGTAATCACTTTTCTTAATTACTAACTCCCAGCACGTAGGCAATATTCCAGAACTCTGTAAAAGATCAGTGGCTGAGCATAATGAGTTGAAAGTCAGTTGAATAACCATTTAAGGTATACGAAAAAATTCTAAGCGTGATTAGTGACAATTAAAGAAATTAAACGCGTTGAAGGTTTCAGAGAAAAGGGATTAGTCAGTTCGTTTCAAAAGGCGGAATTAGATTTATTCCCACTGACGCGCAAGTAAAAAAAATGTATCAAGTAGGTTGACTCAGCACTTATCACGTAACTCCAGTATCAGTTTATGAAGGATTATGGCCACTTAGCGGTACATAATCACGCTCTCACCACTCTGTTCACCCAATCTTCCCGAATAGTTTTGATACAAATCGAAAACGTAAAATATCTATCTATTTGCGCTAAAGATATAAGTCTATGACAATTTGCTGATAATATTTATATATATTTTTGAAATCATTGTAAACTTAAACCGTTTGAACCAGTTCATTCTACGGGGTGTTTCAAATTCGATCCTCACCATTGAGATATCGTAAACTGTCAGAGATACGCAGTCGCTTAAATGAATGTAAAGTTGCATATTTAGGTAATCAACAAAATGCCGCTTAGAAAGTGTCGAAATTCAAAGCACCTCCGGACAGGGTTGGACAAAACCAAATTTTCCCAAAATCATTTCAATTTTTTCCTGACTGTCATTGTAGTGTGATGCCACATTAAATTTCACTTTTTCTCCTCTACAAGATGGCATAATTAGAATTTCAATATGATGTTTCGTCATTTGTCCTCTAGCTTCAACTTTATTTTTTCTTATGAACGCCATATTGGATTTTTACGCAGATGATTAGAGTTTTTAGTTCCGATTTCAAAAATGTATCATGTGTCATAAATTGACATTGCCAAACCTTAGTTATTTCAGAAAAACAAAATTTCCTAGGAAAAATTTGCAGATTTCATTTCTTTCGTATATAAGATCAGACCTCAAATTGAACATAGCAAACGAGTTTGGAAGACTGAGAAGAAGACAAATAAATCGAGCAGTGAGCAATGTACAGAGAAGAGTCAGGCTTTGCCTATACAATAAAGGACATTTTGAACATCTGCTATGATTTACCTCTGCTTATTTATGATTATTATTGCTATTACCATCAATAAAATTTTCCGATTTTCCCATACCTTTGTATTTCCTTATAATCTCCATCCAACAACAAATTCATGGCCAACTAAAGAAATACCTCACTGAATTTGGGACTGAAAGGTTCAAAATTCAAATATAGCGTCCATATGAAAAAACAGAGTTCGTGATGGATGTCGTGAAAAAAAAGACGAATCAAATATTTGACTACACCTTCTTGTAGAGGAGAATAAGTAACAATGACAACATGCAATTTATTTGGAAATCTCATCACAAATAAAGCCAAGAAAAGATAAAAGTTATTTTGGGATAAAACAACCCTGTATATTAACTAGGGTGGAGTTGAAAAATATCATTATCGTAACACTCCTTCAATTCGATTCTCTAAATTTCAGTGACTTATTCGCCTATTGTTGCTTGTTGCTTATACAATATTGTAAAATATACGAATAAAGGATATTTATTATTTTTATCTGACTATTTGCACAGAGATAATTATCTCTGGTATTTACTTGCTAGGTCCAGATCTCTGCCTGAGATCAAAGCGACCTATCCCAACACCTTTTTTAAGATACAGGGTGGCACATCGAAAACGCAAGGGAATTGAAAGACCTTTAAAATAAGGTATCACTCGACCCCCCTTTCCATTTAAGAGTTTGGGGGTGGTGTCACCCCCGCTTAGGGGGCTGCAGGTCCTAAAGTGATTTTTTGCCAAAGTTGTGTCCCCCTCGAAAACAAAATCGACGGGTCTGAGCGTTTTTCAAAAAAAAAACTGAGCTGCCAGTAAATGCGTCTGTTTCGTTTTCGATGTGCTACCCTGTATGTGCGGTGCTGAATAGCGTGATCTTTTGAGCTTCTGTAATGATGAATTGCCCGGAATCCGTATTCATTTTCGAAATTGTGCGCTATTACAATGCTTCTCCGATAGTAGGCGTGGGAATTAAAAATGACGATTTGTTTGGTACCTTCTATATAGTAATAACCTTGTGAGGTTTCACCATAATCCCCAGCATCATCCACAGAATGAAAGAGGCTTAAGTAGATAGGCGGATATGCACAAGCCCGTACATCTTAGCGTATATGTTTCAAATTTAATGTTTATCTATTAGTCATAAGTATTGAATTGAGAAAGTTATAATTAGATTCCTCAGAAGTCTGTTCATTATCTATTGCGTGTATGGAAAATATATTACCACGTAGGTACAAAATACACGTATGCAAGTATATTAAAAAACTTTGTACTTTGTACATTAACGATGACTAAGATGCACCATCGAAAGATACATTAACGCTAATCAGGATCATATGTTATGTTATCACGCGATATGTAATTTTTTGTACAATCTGTTAGAAAACGTCTTGTCGTCATACACATGCTGTTGGCAAAGGAAAACTCACGCAAAAAAGGAAAAATATCTGTGGACATCTATTTACATTTTTACTTATCATGCCACTGGCGAGGAAGTATTGCATATTTTCGAAAATGAGATATTTTTCGATGTAAACAACGAAAAACCATCTCGATCCGTCGGTCTGTTTTCCGCTTGATGGAGGTGTATGTCGATTTGTCTGTCTGTTCGCTAATGATTGGCCCCGGTATAACTTGGAAAGTACACACACGGTTACTAATGTATCAAGGATGGAAAAGCTGAAAATCTATTCAGTGGCGCGGGACCTGTTGAGAGAAAACGAAAAAATTAAAGTCACTGAAATTTTGTTTTTTAGGCACTTGATCGCTTGTAGAATATTTTTTATAGGTGCCGAAAATTGGGAGCTAGGGTCGAAGATGGTAGGGGTTGTAAATGTCATATCTTTGGTATCATTAAGACATTTGAAATTGTTAATATTACCCACCAGCGCGTACTTAAGTTGTCCAGTCTTGCACTATACAGTGTGTAAAGTTAGTAGTGGATCAACGGAAGTCAGGTGATAGAGAGCCTCAAAACCTATCGAATGAACCCCTATATGTGGGGTCTAATATTTTATAGCTCAGGAGATATTTGCAATTTCGCGAAAAAACGGGATAATGAACTTTCAATCGCAATTACAATTAAACCATCAGGCTACGGGCTGTGATTTTTTTCTGAGATGAGCTAAATGGTTAGTTTTAGCAATGGTTATATCACTTTTTATCTGAGCTAATAAGAAATCAATGCAAAAAATCATACATTTATTTTTTTGTGAAAAATCTCTGCCATCCCTCAACTTTGGAGGGCGGTAAAAAAATGAGGTTGTATTTCATTATTCAGCCTATTGTAAAAACTATTTCAATCCAAGTAGAATAAACCCTGAAAATTTCAGCTTGCTACGATGAGTGTATCATGTCACATTCGTGGTTGTGATGCCGCTCTTTAGGGCGATTTACCGACAAATGTGGAAAATAATTTCTGTGCCTTAGAATATAGTTGTAACTCCATATAATGCAAATCAGAGAACAAGCAAATTAAAGATTGAGTTAGCAGCAGAATGGCTTTTTGTTCATGTTACTGTTAATATGCGAATATAGTTTTTTGGGAAAACATATTATATGGTACACAGAACAGTAATGCTTCATGTTAATGATCTTAGAATTTGATATCAGATTATTTTGTGAGTTAGGACTATTTACTATGATAATAAAATCCAGGTGCAGCATAGGATGAAACACAGTAAGTACAATTGGTGGAAATAGGCTACATTTTATTATTACAAAAAATGACATCTGGATAATATATATCCAATCGTCGTCATCGTCATCATCTCCTTGTTGACCCAGCACAGGAATATTTTTATAAAAATCATGAAATGCTTCTGGTATCCATTGCAGAAGCATGAGAAGATGATCGTGCTTTTTCTTGCTAAGTCCTTTTGGGGTTTGACGCGGCGAACATAGTTCTAGTGGTAACCCTATCGGTTTTCTAGTGGATCTATTCATGTTTACCACTTTGTAGTCCTCTTGGAATATGTCTGTTTTATAGTAGAGTATCCTTGGATCCTGTTTTCGAACCTCAAGCCACACCGCTGATGACACTAAAAAGCTTTCTTTGTCTACTGCTACTGCCTGTTTCTTTTGAATGAGAGGTGATCCTGTGCCGGAATATAAGGCCTCGAAGTTCTTGAAGTCATCTAACTGCATCTCGAAAACTGTGGCTCCGGTTGATCTTATAAGTTGCTGCCAGTCCCATGGCGTACATATTTTCATGGTTGGTTGTTTTTTTATAACTCCTTCGATAAGTGCATGGATATGATCAGCTTCCATGTGTGTGTGTCCACGTAGAAGAAATTTGTGAATGATACACTTTAATGAAGTACTTATTATTTGTAATATGTAAAAGTAGTTTACGATCATCATAATGTTCCTGTTTTGGCTCGGACACCTATAATATCAATTATGTTGTACTTACTAGATTCTCGAGAATTGATTGCCTCCTCTAGTGCAAGCTGCACTAATTTTTGAGCCCTTGAGGACATTATTACCGTTTTTTGGTTACTTAAGCACCTTGATCAACTTTGAAACATGATTGAACAACACAGTTTGTAAAACAAGCGGTGCGCGTCGGAGACACGACTGTTTACCGCTGCGTAGCGATGATTCATATGATAGTATTGTGCGTATGTATGGAGAAGCGACTGTTTACCTCTAATAAAAAATCACTAGCTGCTTGTTATATTTCATATATTTCATGATTATCGTGGTTAGGCGCTACGATCATTTACTCCGCGTAAAGATTAACCAGGGATACTAATTATAGGCAGATAATCACAAAAACTGCAAAAAGTTACGATCGTTTACCTCTAAATTGTTCTTTAGTTTTTGAAATGAATTTGCATTTTCCATAATTTTTTTTGGTTCATCAATTTTCTGGCGCAGTTGGCTGACATTTGTATATTCAGATGTATAGATTATCTCCTTATCAAACCCCATATAAAAAAATCTAGGGGATTTAAGTCTGGTGACTGTTGGAGGCCATCGTACTGTCTAAGTAATGCCGTACATCCAGTGCAAAGTGGCATGGGGCACCATCGGCTTGAAAATGCATGCGGCTTGCAAACTGCAAACTGCTTTGTAGAAAAGCAAGATATAATAATTATAGCGTTTATTATATCTTTATATCAATATAATAGTAATAACCTTTATTTGTTCTGTAGATCATTTGTCATGACATAGAACACGTCAAGGTACTCTATCTTGAAACTAAGACAACCATTATAAAAATAGATAAATAAAAACAAAAACAATACACATATGAAATATATGACAGTCCCAAAACAAATGAACAAAAATAAAACAAGTACATATTAAAATAAATCGGCCAAGTTAAAATATACTAAGTGACATATACAGGGTGTTCCATAATTATTGCGACAAAATGATAGGGGTTGTAGAGGGCATCAAAATGAACAATTTTGCCTTATAAACCCCTGTTCGGAAATATGCCGTTTGGGATGCAGCAAAAAAAAAAGATCAGTTTCTTGAAACAGCTTACCTACAGTAATTGCTCAAAGTGTCCTCCACCTTGCTCAATACACAGCTGTGCACGATTGTTCAATGATCGGCGAACTCTGTGGCATACCCCCGGTTTGTCCTGAACATGTGCGGACGCGGCCATCACTCTTCCCAGTAGCTCTTGTTGGTTGGGAACAGTAGTTTCGTACACTAAAGCTTTCAGATGGCCCCAGAGAAAATAATCCAGTGGGGTCAGGTCGGGTGACCGCGCAGGCCAAGGCACAGGGCCACCTCGGCCGATCCACCTATTTGTCGTCCAAATACTGCCGCACTTGTAAAGAAAAGTGGGCTGGAGCGCCATCGTGTTGAAACCACGTGTTGGCTCTTATGTTCAGTGGCACATTTTCTAATAGTTCCGGTAGCACATGCTGTAAGAATCGACCATAAGCATGCCCATCCAAACGTGGTGGAAGCAAATATGGCCCGATGATATGCTCGTCCACAATGCCGCACCAGATGTTAATTGAAAACTATGTTGGTCTCTATGGATGGCTATGGCATGAGGGTTTTCTTCATCCCAAATGTGACTGTTACGGCTATTAAAATAACCTTCCTTTGTGAAACAGGACTCGTCAGTGAACAAAACGTAGCGACCAAAGTTTGGTTGCCTCAACTCCTGCTGCAGCCACCAACGACAAAAACGTCGACGCGGCAGATAGTTTTCTGGACCCATGGCTTGAACTTTTAAAAGGTGGTATGGGTGTAGTTGCTGGTCATGGAGAACCCGCCAAGCAGTAGTTTGAGACGCTCCCATTTCATGTGCAATAGCACGCACGCTTGTACGCGGATTGGCCTCTAGTTTGACGCACCACTCAGATAAATTAAATGAATCGGTGTGGAGAATTTACGATAACAAAAATGTAAACACAGCAGGCTTTTTTTTACAAATCGGCGAGACCATGAAATGTGCTAGACGAACATTTTGCAGCTGTTGAATTTCTTGTTTCTCTTAAGGTAAAATTAGCGGTAGTGCTCAAACGGCATATTTACGAACAGGGGTTTATAAGGCAAAATTGCATATTTTTATGCCCTCTACAACCCCTATCATTTTGTCGCAATAATTATGGAACACCCTGTATAAATCCGAACACCCAGTTTAAATGGTTTTATTTTAATAAAAGTTGGTGAATGTATTTATCTTACTGTAAATAACAAGTGAAAAATTTTTCAGCCTTATCAGTTGGACATTCCGGTTTTTATACTGCTTTTTTTTAATTCACTAACGCTCTAAAAATGAATATTTCAGCCGCAGTAAAGAATCAACGTTGGCGGATTTTGGTTCTTGACATCCTTTACGATCGGTTACGATGCCTAGAGTACGGAGACCTGTACGATTTCGTCAACTTAGTGAGTTTGATAGGGGCCGTATAGTGGGACTTCGGGAAGCTGGACTTTCTTTTCGGGCAATTGTAGTTAGAGTGCAAAGAAGTGCCGTACGCAAAGAGCAAGGGGCACTTGACGCCGCCGTAGAACAACAGACCCTGAAGATCGCCGCCTAAGATTATTGGCCTTAAGGGACCGTTTCTCCACTACCAGGTCCATTGCAAATGAATGGTTTGCAGAACACGGAAGACCTATTGGCATGCGAAGTATTTACCGACGAATGAGAAGTTTTGGCTTGTTTTCATACCGACCACACTGGGTCCTCCCTTTAACTCGAGAACACCGACGTAATCGCCTTGAGTGGTGCAGACAACGGTCACTCTGGGATCAGGAATGGAACAGTATTGTCTTTAGTGACGAGTCTCGATTTTGTTTATGCATGCACGATGGTCGTGCCAGGGTTAGAGGGCGACGTGGTGAAAGGAGGAATCCACAGTTTTTTGTTGAAAGACATGTTCATCACACTGTTGGAGTTATGGTTTGGGGTGCTATAGCTTATGGTTCCAGGTCACCTTTAATCTTCATCAGAGGTAACATGAACGCGCAGCGTTATATCCACGAAGTTCTAGAACCCCATCTTTTACCCTATCTTGACACCCTGGCAGATCCAACTTTCCAACAAGATAATGCCCGACCACATGTTGCAAGAGTCACAATAGACTTCTTTCAACATAATGATGTCACATTGTTACCATGGCCACCAAGATCTCCCGACTTATCTCCAATTGAGCACGTGTGGAATATGATGGGTAGGAGATTGCTCAATTTGCAACGTCCTCCTCAGACTCTAGAAGCACTTCGAGAGGAGTTGGTGGTTGCCTGGAATGAGATACCACAGGAGAATGCGTAGCACATCAGGGTGCATCCACACGTTATTAAAGGTCAAAGGGCTTTAAAGCAGTGAAATCATTTTGAAATTTTTATCATTTACTTATTATGCTTCATTAAGTACTTATACAAAATTTTTTTGAAATAAAACCATTTAAACTGGGTGTTCGGATTTATATGTCACTTAGTATATATAAATAAAAATAAATAAAATACAAGAACCAGAAATAATATGCTACAGTAAAAAATGTATATGGGACTAATACAGAGCTCACATTTGATATAGTTTGGCATTTTGATCTAGCTGGATATCTAAGAAATATTCGTCCAAAGAATAGTACGCTCTGTACGCTTATTGAACAGTCTAATACCCATTAGATTTGTGCTGGCCTCTGTTCTTGACAGCCTATGAGCAGGAATCTGCAGGACAAGCGAATATAAAGTAAACACTACAATTCGTCTAATAGAAATTTTCTGTAACTTCTTTTAAAAGCCGGCCCAGACATAGACTTAAGGTTTGTGGGGACGTGATTATACAAGTGGTAGATAAAATGAGAAAAACATCTGTTAATCATAGATGTACGATGACGTGGTTTTGAAATCATCTTCTGATACCGAACATTGATATTGTGAACATCACTTCGGAATGTAATCTTATTATATAAATAAGGCGGAGTTTTATATAGAAGATGAAACAAAACTGCAGAGTGCAGATTTCTCCTAGCTTCCATATTTAGCCATCCTATTACAGGTAACTTATAAGAAATATGTTAAAATTTTTCCACTCCAAAAATAAACCAGGCAAGAGTTTTGGACACGCTGTATACGATCAACATCATACCTTGTTATACAAGGCCCATAAACTGAGTCGCAGTAATTGAATAATGACAGAACAAGCGTGTGACAAAGCAATGCCTTAAGTCCGGTAGAACAGATATGACGATGTGGAAATAACATTTTAAGCCGACCATAAGCACGGCCAATGCACTTATCAACATGCTTAGAAAACCTCAGGTCACTATCCATAGTCAAGCCTAAATTCCTAATAGCGGATATGACTGACCATTCAACTTGGCGGGCAATTCGTATGGTCCAATTAATAACGTGTGGATTTTCCACGCTCCATGAATGGAAACTGTGCATGTTGAATATTCCATTTCGGTTAAAGTTGGATTCATCTGCCCATAAGATACTGTCTAAAAAAGTTTCATCCACTTCGCACCTTCTCAACATATTCTCACAAAATTCAACCCGTTGTGCATAGTCGCTTGGAAGCAATTCTTGTACCTTTTGTACATGGTAAGGATGCATGATCTCCGAGCGTAGTATTATGTGCACTGAAGTATGGGATATGTTTCTGCAATGGCTCTGGTGCTTATCGAGGTAGCTCTCTCGGCTGCTTCTATTATATCTTCCATTTCTTCTGGACGAACCCTCTGCTCTCCTAGCTGACGATGGTTCAGTTGTAATTGCGATTAAAGGTTCATTATACCGTTTTCACAAGGTTGCAAATATTTCCTGAATTATAAAATTTCGACCACACATATAGGGATTCATTCGATAGGTTTTGAGGCCCTCTATCACCTAACTTCCGTTGGTCCAGTACTAACTCTACACTCTGTATATAGTCAGAGCAAAATATTAAAAAAGTAAATTGACAATTCAACTATATTCATTCTACATCACCGGCTATAAGGGTTTCACGTCCGGCCAATAGTAAAGTTATCAGATCGTTCGAAATTTGACTCGGATACTATACACATGGCGCATATTCAAAGTCCACAGTCTCAATTTTTTTTAAACAATACTATTTTCCACTAATACTGATTATACTCTCTGCGATAAGGCTAAGGTACAAGAATTTTCATAGCCGTCGAATAATAATGAATTATTCTACTTGACGTCATTTTTTTTCAGTATTCATACAGACAAAATTAACTTATTTTTTGATGGAAGGCGAACAAGCTTCACTTAGCGAAAATACTTTCTGAAAATTTCACTAGTGTTATGCCCTGTAGAGCCCCTCATACAGGGGCTTGCAGCTGGAGGGCTGAAGGGCTACCGGCAGAGGTATTATGTAAAAAGCCTAAACACGAAAAAAAATCGTTACAAAATGTCATCTTGCAGACTAGGTAGTTTTTAGTGAGGAAATAGTTCATTCCACGTTTGCTCGCCGTGAGCGCCATCAGAAGCGTCAATCTATGGAGTAATCAAGGACACGACATGCATTGTTGGTTGCAGAAAACTGAGTAGCCTGTGGTATTTACCCCTGAGAGGATGTGAGAGAAAGGAAATTGGTTGAGTAGCAAGATCGCATCTGGATCAGTATGTGTATTGGTCTGCATGTGTATAAAATCAGTCAAAATTATTACTGAATATGCTGCCAATTAAGTATATCTGTTAGCTGTGCCTGACGGGCTATTTATATGTTGTCATTTCTGGTGAGAGGTTGGTCAGAGTAAAGATAGCATGACCACGTAAGACAATTGTTGAAATATACTTTACTAGGCTCTACAAGACTATCCGTAGCTAAATTAGGCCAATAATGTAACAACTTTTTTATGTTTCATAAATATTCCCATCTTAAGCATATTTTCTCACCTGTTACTTGTAATATATAGTACTTCACCAACCAGCGATTTTTTTGTCTCTCTCATTTTTTAAATTCAGCAAATTTGTATATATCCAGAATTAATAACAAAAGTGGATGCACGACTAATTTATAAGTTTGAATATATCTCAAGTAAGTGTATTTGAGACAAGTAGTCAATCGAATTATGGTCAACACAGATTATTAGTAAAGATTCTCACAAATTCTCGCTATGTACAGATACACTGCGGTTTTTTTCCAGCTAGACTGCAGTGGTCGCCATCCCGTCGATCGTTAGCTATCAGTAGCCAGCAAAGGCAATTCTGGTGGCTCACAACATGTTTTAAAAAGGTGTACAAATCATAGAAGCTTCCGTAAATTTTGTAAATTCTCATAATAAACACAAGCAGCGGCAACACTGCGGTAAACTATCTCTTCGAGAACGATCTCGATCACTTTGAACGAAATAAATACGCAAGGTGCGGCGCCAGTGCGCTCAATTTGAAACTGAACGGTCCAGCGGTCGGATTAGAGCTGGACTGCAATTAAAAACATTATGGGCAGTAGTAAGAAGATGAAAACATACTATTTCCATTCGGAATGGGAAGTACAATATTTCTTAACAGAAGTAAAAAAAGGGAATATCAAGAGGCACTATAAAACTGTAGATACATTCGAATTTTGAAAAATCATTCCCATTACGTTCTTTAACCAGAATGAAAAAACTGAAACAATGAAAAAATCAGTTAATTACGCAACAGACAATGTTTTTAAGAACAATCGACAGAAGTAAGGCTACACCTGCAGCAACATACCGAATGTCCCAGATAATTACTCAAAAGAAGAAACATTATGAAGACGGGGAAATGATAAAACAGGCGTTCTTAGAAGCTGCTGGTTCATTATTTGCCAACTTTAGAAATAAAGCACGAGATAGTGTCTGCTATAAAATCTATGCAACTTTGTGATAATACAGTGATCAGAGGAGTAGAAGTAATGAGCAATAATATAGTTTTACAGTTAAGAAATGACTTCGATAACTGTGCATATTTCTTACTGCAGCTGGATGAATCCACAGATGTCGTTGACACCTCTCAGATGGCCGTGTTCGTCAGGATGGTCTTTAGTGATTTTACGATTAAAGAAGATCTTTTGAAGTTTATTCCACTAAAAGGACAGACTACTAGGCAGGACTTAATTTCTTCGTTTAAAAATATTATTTCGTCTGAGAAAATTCCAATATCGAAAATGGTAGGCTTGACAACCGATGGCGCTCCAGCTATAATGGGTCGTGATAAGGGTCTCGTGGGGTTGTGTCGTAAAGATGAAAGTTTACTATCCATCAGCAAGCATTATGTGAATATTTTTTCAAACTAAACAACGTTATGCAATTGGTAGTAGAAATTGTGAACAAGATTAGAGCTTAAGCGTTACAAAGGAGATTATTCAAAGCCTTGGCCCATGAAATTGACTGTCAATACGGGGAACTACTTCTTTACTTTGCAATCCGATGATTAAGTAGGGGACGTTTTAATGATATCATATCTGCAATAGTTCAATTTTTCAAACAACGTGATGAACCGATTCCGGAACTGGAAAATTCAATCTGGCTTAGAGATGTTGGTGTTCTTGTGGATGTTACAGAAAAATTAAGTGAACTCAATTTGCAGTTTCAGGGAGAGACAAAGAACTAGCAGAAATGATTTCTGATATAAAAGCGTTTATCAGAAAGCTTGAGTTTTGGGAATAAAACTTAATCGATGGCAATACCAGGAATTTTCCTGTTCTTTCAGAAAAGACATCTCAAAGTCCATTAGAACCATATGACTGTAAATATCATGTAGAAGTTGCTACAGTGCAATTTGTTGTTTCACCCTTCCTGGAATATCCAACGGTTTGCAACTTCTGTTACGCAAAATCTTAGCAAAGACATCGCTGCGACAGAAATGGAAGTGATTGAGTTTCAAAATGATTTAGCCATAAAATCAATAATCTCAAATACAAAATGTATCTGGCGTTCAGTAAAAATTAAGTTTTATATCATGTTGCCTTTGTGTGAATCTTCTTTTTCAAATATGAAGTTTCAGATACCGAAATCGACTTACAGTTGAACAGGCTTCTCATTGAACACGCACTTTTTATCATGTTTTTGTTTAAAATAGTGCCTTGTTTTTTTTATTTTTAGTTACCTTTATTAAATCGTATGTGGCCTGCCATTGTTGCTAAAAATTTTGTTTATTTTTCAAACACCTACGATTGGTAGGAATGGATGTAGTTATGTAGTATGTATTAGTTAATTAGTTATATTAGTTTATTTAAGTTTATTAGTATGTGTTAGCATTAGTAAAATAAACACATGTACGTTGCATACAACTGTGTATAATTTCATTTAAGTTAGTTTACATTACTTACGGCTGGGTCTATTCCAAAATCATTAAAGCAGCTCAACAAATCAGAGCCAAACATTGATAGCTGAATCATCATGATGCTTAGGCAACACGTCTAGCTACTAAACGAGTTCACAACAAGTGTACAACAGCTAGTGCTAAGTTGACATCTTGTAGAAAAACCTACGTTTTGTCACAAAAAGCCTATAGAATGACAAAAAGAAATGACAAAATATCACTTTTCAAGATACGAATTACCAGTGCGGAGCAATCCTAGGGGGAGTAGGGGAGTGGCTGCATCCATCAAGACGGATTTCTGGGCACACACCCTATGTGCCCATAACGTGAACACGAAATAGTGTACGGCAGACCACTTTCAAAGAAACATCAAACCGAGCTGACACTAGATACGTATATATTACAAGAAATGTTTAAATTTATACATATTTTATTCACTCTTAGTATCTTCTATTTTCTTGTGGTATGTACCATCCCCATGGTTCATGATCATGGACTCCTTCAATTCATCCGACCCAACTTTTAAGTCATACGCCCAGCCAATTTTGCCGAAAAAGTCCAGCCACAGAGTAGTGATGTTCAACGCCATACCAAGTTCCGCTGCTCTGTAGTCCCATGGGAAGGTATGGTGGTAGTTGTGGTAACCCTCTCCCATCGCGAAGAGGGAAACTCCAGTATTTTCTACTGGACGGATACGTCTGGAAATAGTAAATTACATACCTTGATGGAGAAGTTTGCCGAGTATTTTTATATACTGAAGCGCATCGTGCACAGGGATAAATAAACTTCTTCACAACTAACGTTGGCACATCCGAGGCTCCCAGTCAGCAGATGTCATTGCGAGAAATCACGTGCTCATCAGACAAATGTGTTTGAGGCATTATATTAATAATCAAATCCAAGCGAATAACCGACATTTCTGTGTTATGTAACGCGGTTATAATATAGGTGGATTCTTTAATTCACCGGTTGATTCCACCACTGATGGATGCCCTGCTTATGGTTGACACTGTTGACAGCTTTGTATGGTGATGGCAGCAACCGGTTGAATTAAAAGGACAGATGTCTGGTCCACCGGTGGCACCGGTTGCTCAACCGGTGAATTAAAAAATACACCATATGGTTTAAGATGACACACGGGTTGATGACGTCAGTTACTCGAATCGCTTGAACGCGTTGGTTTTAACCGCGGTTTTGTTGCAGGTTGTTTATTTTAGAAAAGCGCGTATATAATTTCTGATTATTTTTATTATCACTTAATAATCATTGTTTTTTCGTCTACACCAGTGTATGGAAAGTTTAAAAAAGAAATCTTTCATAATATTAATGGGAGATATGTTTTTTTTCAGAAAATAATTTTTAGTGGACCCATGGCTTTCTAGCTATGATAACTTTCAATTCTCTAACCTTTTCCGCATGTCAAAGAAAACATTTATTGATTTAAAAGATATTATAGGAAAAAGCGATGAAAAAAGGTATTAGCAAAACCCTATACAGGTGGACATTATCCAGTCAGTTTATATGGCCATATTTCAATATTTTTGTAGTATGTGGCTACACAGGATACTTTGTTAAGCATAGGAACTAGATTTAAAGTGTCCCCAACAACAATGAGTATAACCAATAAGGTGCTCTACTTCATGCTACAACTGAAGTCAGCCTGTATCAAGTTTCCCAAAAATGAAGCTGAAGTACAACAAAAATATCCAATACCCGTCAAAATTCTAACTTGTCACATTTCAAATAATAACCAGAAATATAAAACTACTCTATAGAGTTGGGTAAATACCACAATTTTGCGGTGATAACTATAACATATAACAGCTGATTCATGACGTCACCGGTCTTATAATCAAACTGATAACCACACTTGCTTAAACGAATCGGTAAATACCAATCCAAAATGGTGAATACCATTTTTATTTGGTTATTTGCTTGAATTTGATTATTGAGGTTCATGTCATCGGTGTTTTCATTAAATTCTTTCAACTAAACATCTGTGTCAATTCCTTCAAAACTGGCGCCAAATTTAAACCTCAAAATGCCTATAGGTGTATACTTTGCAGGTATCTTGGCTACCTATAGGCATTCTTTGCTAAGTTTTCATAGAATATTTTCCTATTTTTCAGCATTTATTAAAATCGTTTATACATTTCGGCAATGGGAATTGGAAGAATATTTTTGCTCGAACTCATGAAAGCTTTCGGTTACTTCAGAGTGCGTTCCTCATAATGCATGATGTGTTTTATCAGATTAAGGCATACAATGCATTCCGTAAATGCCTCTCTCCCCTGCTGCTTACTTTTGAAAGTTAGCAAGCTAATATCCTGAGTTATGAAATTCATCAAGGCATCATTGGTTGTCAAGGCGTTCTGCCATACTGTCACTTTGAAAGTCTGTCAGGTCTGGTCAATTTTATGGAAAAAAAGGGAACGAAAAGAGAGAAGAAAAGGAGAGAGTAAAGAGGAAGAAGACAATCCTTTAGGACAGAGAACGCCTATGCATTGTTACAATTACTTGACAGATTTTGATATGGTCTAAAAATATTTAATTTTTGAAAGGATTTTGTCAAAATGCTCTAAATCTGGTTGTTCTAAATTGACAAATTAACTTTGATAATAGTGCGAGTGGTCGCCTTTTGTGCTTACGAACTTGCTCGACTCTGTGGTCCACTGACTCGCTCAACAGAGGCTTGCTGTGCGATCCCGCTTGGTTGATGAAATTAATGCACAAATGCTGTATTTTAACGTAGAAGTTACAGCTGAAACTGCCAAGCTGGCAGCCAGGTAAGTGCGATCCTAGAACGTTTTGAAGCTCTTCATCCGCATTTTATAACTCTGGAATATGAATTTACCATCCGTTATCTGAATATAGAATAAAGTATGGTTCATTCTGTTTAAACAGATTGACAGATTGTGACAGTTTTTCAATGAAACGTTCAATACTTTATTGCCTATTAAGATGTCTTTCCAAAACACGAAGACTAGCAACGCTGACGCAGAATGTAGTATCTGTCGCGTTGCCAATATGCCACCAGAAAATGTTCGCACAGACTGCTACAATAGGTTAGGTTAATGTCAACCTCAAGAGGGAGGTCTGTTATTTAATATTTTGTTTTCATTTTGATTAGAACTATTTATTACAATTTTGATTGGACTTTTAATCTGTTTTAGAATTATCATTGATTTACACCGATGGCTATAATCCTGAGTTATTGTTACATTTTGAGACAGCGCTGCGGTAGGAAAAAGGATCAAATATCGTTACGCAATACAAATTATGACTGCCTGCGTGTACGCAGGTGAAAGTCATTTCGCAGCAGGACGACACTCCCCTACGAGCGCTAGATGGGTACTGACCAAAATCGCTCAACTATGATCATGGAGATGGAAACCTTGCTTTGGAACGTACAAGATGCAGTGATATCAAACGATTCAATGAGGCAATATTGCAGGATTTGTTGCGATTCTGATCTTTTATTTCAACCTAAAGTGGAGCGACCGATCGGGAATCAATCCCCAACAGATTCGACATAATTCACAATTAAAAAATGTGTACGCTCAAAATAAAATCATTATTCGAGCGTAAAGAATAAACTAACGCATATTTTCAATATACATCTTGGGTAACATATTTGCAACGCGGCATCGTTGCTAGACAACGTGATGATGAGCTTCGCCATCCAGGCGACTTCTATCTCTTTCTAAAATGTGTCTTTACACACTTCTCTCTCGTACACATTGAATTCAAGCCGCCAGACAAATTTGATTCTGTGTATAGCATTTTAAAAATTGGTTGCTTAGTTGCAAGAGATTCAATGTACAAAAGCGCTCAGGTCTGACAGCCAGACAGTCCGTCATTTTGGAGGAGAATGATTTTATATACCAGGGCTATAAAATAGTAATAAGGAACTTCAAAGTAAGGTTTCACATGATGCTACATTTCGATTAAAAAAATGTTGCAAGATAGTAGCCATCCGCCATGTTGCAATTTTCATCTGTTATTGTTACGCTAGAATATACTCGTAGTAGCCAAATTCCAGCTTCTTCAAATAATAGGTAAGGGGGGCCTTTCTGAACAGCTTTTTCAAAATGCTGTAATTTTCAATGAAATCATTCTTGGTAAATATAAACTAGATTCTGGTTGACATTTGACAGAAATGGACGTGTTTGCTTTTCGTGGTTATAATCATGACCAACCGCAAACCGCGCTGTTTTGTGCTCATTAGCAACTCATCATTGCAGTGTAGGTCTAATCTTGGCAAGCTATTGGTAGGTGGAGTTCGTGACATACTTGCGCTCATCACTTGAGACAAAGAGAGCCCCAATTCCATGTTGCTAAGTTGAACCTTTCAAAAAATAAGTAGTGGAGGGAGCTACCTTTTTTTAAATGCACTACATAATCACGCCTATAGTATCGAAAAGAACTGCGTAGACGAATTTTGTCCATTTACTTTTTACATCTTGCATTTTGGATGAACCAAGAATTAACGTGTGTGAGGCCTATGGGCGTCAGCGAGACGGTGCCACGGGGGTGTTGGCAAATCTATATATACTAAGTGACATATAAATCCGAACACCCAGTTTAAATGGTTTTATTTTAATAAAATTTTGTATAAGTACTTAATGAAGCATAATAAGTAAATGATAAAAATTTCAAAATGATTGCACTGCTTTAAAGCCCTTTGACCTTTAATAATGTGTGGATCCACCCTGATGTGCTACGTATTCTCCAACGCGCCTAGGCATGCTTCTGATTAGGTGGTCAATGTCCTCCTGTGGTATCTCATTCCAGGCAACCACCAACTCCTCTCGAAGCGCTTCTAGAGTCTGAGGAGGACGTTGCAAATTGAGCAATCTCCTACCCATCATATCCCACATGTGCACAATTGGAGATAAGTCGGAAGATCTTGGTGGCCATGTTACCAATGTGACATCATTATGTTGAAAGAAGTCTATTGTGACTCTTGCAACATGTGGTCGGGCATTATCTTGTTGGAAAGTTGGATCTGCCAGGGTGTCTAGATAGGGTAAAAGATGGGGTTCTAGAACTTCATGGATATAACGCTGCACGTTCATGTTACCTCTGATGAAGATTAAAGGTGACCCGGAACCATAAGCTATAGCACCCCAAACCATAACTCCAACTGTGTGAAGAACATTTCTTTCAACAAAAAACTGTGGATTCCTCCTTTCACCACGTCGCCTTCTAACCTTGGCACGACCATCGTGCATGCCTAAACAAAATCGAGACTCGTTCCTAAAGACAATACTGTTCCATTCCTGATCCCAGAGTGACCGTTGTCTGCACCACTCAAGGCGATTACGTCGGTGTTCTCGAGTTAAAGGGTGGACCCAGTGTGGCCGGTATGAAAACAAGCCAAAACTTCTCATTCGTCGGTAAACACTTCGCATGCCAATAGGTCTTCCGTGTTCTGCAAACCATTCATTTGCAATGGACCTGGTAGTGGAGAAACGGTCCCTTAAGGCCAATAATCTTTGGCGGCAATCTTCACGGTCTGTTGTTCTACGGCGGCGTCCAGTGCCCGTTGCCCTTTGCGTACGGCCTTCTCGAAGCCATGCCTGACAACACCTAACCACAGTGTCTACACTTCTTTGCACTCTAACTGCAATTGCCCGAAAAGAAAGTCCAGCTTCCCGAAGTCCCACTATACGGCCCCTATCAAACTCACTAAGTTGACGAAATCGTACAGGTCTCGTACTCTAGGCATCGTAACGGATCGTAAAGGATGTCAAGAACCAAAATCCGCCAACGTTGATTCTTTACTGCGGCTGAAATATTCATTTTTAGAACGTTAGTGAATTAAAAAAAAGCAGTATAGAAACCGGAATGTCCAACTGATAAGGCTGAAAATTTTTCAGTAAGATAAATACATTCACCAACTTTTATTAAAATAAAACCATTTAAACTGGGTGTTCGGATTTATATGTCACCTAGTATATTTAGCATGGTATTATGTACAATTTTGGAGATTTTTAGGATCCACCCCTGAGAAAAATTGCAACCCCCCACACTTCAAACCGTTTTCTCTTGGCGATGATCGGCCGACCCTGATATATATCCCTGAGGCCGCCCGCCCATGGTTAGGCTTCTTATTGATACTTACTTATCGTAAGGCTTGTTCCCATAGAAATGTGCAAAACTGTTCACAGCCCAAGTGGAGTTGAGTGAAACTACGTATCTAACAAAGCATACTCCCATAATACTTGTATACCACGTCTCGCCATATAGGAAAGGAGGTATGATTGTTGGTACTATGAAGCAGCATAGAATCTTGAACAACATGAAGTGCCTGGAATGAAAAATGTGGAGTTAATGATTTTGTAGGAAAATAGGATGACGGGATTCTTCTGTTGATCCCACTGCAAAAGAGACTCCAGATTAGATATGCTTAAGTCATTTTTTACTGATTGAATACTTCTCGTTGATCTCAATGAAAGACTAACTACCCTTCGGTCCAAAATCTACATATTATCCAACACAGCTCTTTCACATTCAGATAAATAGCAAAATCTTATAGTTTTCTGAATCTGCAACAATTCTTGATGACGAAATTATCGTTTAGTGATCATGTTAAAAGACTTTCACAGAAAACCTACCTAAAACTACATACCCATATTGCAAACAGCCATCTACTAAATTTTAAGCTGCGTAAAAAGCTCTATGCAGCATTGGTCATGCCTATACTAAATCATGGTAATATCGTATTCTAGAAAAGTTTAGACAATTTCACCAAAAACGTTATTCAAGTAATTAAAAATCACTGTGTACGTTTTATCTTTGGCTTACGTAAATTTATTCATGTACCAGCGAAATATGATGTTCTTATCTGTTTAAAACTTAAGGACTTCAGAGAAAAAAATATCAGAATAACCCCAGCCTACGTCTACACTTTTCAAACGCAGTTTATATAGGCAGCAGCAGTGGCCGCAGTAGTAGGCTCTTCGGTCTCCTGATCAGTCGCCGTGCGCTGTGCGGATTCGAGTCCCGTCCCAGGAGAATTTTTTCTCTTGGCTATGGATGTTGTGATTGTCCGAAGGTGGTAGACCGTCTCTGACTGTCGAACGCGGAGGTACCACCCGGCGGATCTCGTAGGCGGAGCCAGAATATGTGCATGTTGCATGCACACATGTTCCCTCGCCAGAGTCCGTGTGGCGTTCCCCCTTTCCCATGTATCCCCCTATAGCCCTACGGTACCCAATGGGTGCTTAGGCCTTAAGCCTTCGTGGTATGTCTCATATCTGGCTATACTACAATGTAATTGTATGTAAATAAATACTTCTATTATTATTAGGTTTATGAACTACCCAGCCGATTTACCTAAGGAGCCGGTTTTGGTTGGAACTGCAGAAACCTAAGAATTTTAGAAAATTGCCTGCAATTTGTAAGTTCTCGACAGTCTATTTTAAAATGAGAGTAATAAATCCATCACATTAGACCCAGCTCTGCATCAATTCATAGCCCTAGAATTTCTTTATTGAAAATATGGCATTATTTTACATCATAATTTGTGTCCATGATAATTCAGTACTTAATGTCAAAGATAATTATACAAAATAATTGAAGAGCGGTAATTCAAAAGCGTCCAAGTGCCATATTCAGGTATTTTCAAATTTCAGAGATTTTAAGGTCTATGTACCATTGCCAATAGTATACCAAACAGTCTATGTGCCAGTCAAGAATTTGCAGTTCTATATATGTACGTATTTCAAATTCGCCTGCAGTCTATCTCCGCTAAGGGTTGTCCAATAGGGACGCAGGAAAGTAAACGTCAATTTGACATAGACGCCATCTTTGTTTTCTGTCACCGACATGTCATTTTGTTAGTTGAATGTTTACCATTGATCGCTATGGAGTCGTATTCGATTGAAGACCGCATTACAGTTATTCAAGAGCACTACAAAAATGGTGCAAAAATAAAAAACACGTTTCGCGCGCTTCGTGAAGATTTCGGTCGCAACAACCGCCCAAACTAAACAACCATCGGTCGTCTGGTGCGTAAATTCGAGGCAACAGGTTCTGTGGCAAATCTGTCAGGCTCTGGCCGGCCAAGGAGCGTTCGCACACCGGAAAATACTGCTGTTGTGAAGGAGAGTGTGAGAGACGATCCGAAACAATTAACAACGCGACGATCCCAAGAATTGGGCATTTCGAGAACCAGTTTGCTCCGCATTCTCCACAAGGATTTGAATGTACACGCCTACAAGATCCAATTGACCCAAGAGCTGCGTCGGGCCGACCATTTTTCACGCCGAACGTTCTCAGATTAGCTCCTTGAACACCGCCAAATTGATGCCAATTTTTCATCAAAAATCATGTTCAGCGACGAAGCGCATATCACTTTGAATGGGACGGTAAACAAGCAAAACTGCCGCATCTGGGCGAACGAAAATCCCCGTGAGTATCAAGAGCAGCCGATGCATCCTCAAAAAGTGACTGTGTGGTGTGCATTGTGGTCAAAAGGCATCATCGGACCTTACTTTTTCGAAAATGCGGCCGGGGACGCCGTTACCGTCAATTCTGAGCGATATCACGTGATGATAGAGGACTATTTTTTGCCGCAACTTGAAGGAATGGATATGGACGATGTTTATTTCCAACAAGACGGTGCAACAGGAAACACAACTAACGTCAATATCCATCGGTTGCAGTCCTTTTTCGGTGATCGCGTGATTTCGCGCAGAGGAAATGTGCCATGGCCACCAAGATCGTGCGATTCGACTCCCTTGGACTTCTTTTTATGGGGATATTTGAAAAGCAAAGTCTACGTCAACAAATCAGCCACCCTCCAAGAACTCAAAAACAACATCATTGCCGAGATAAATGCCATAGAACCGACCATGTTGCAAAATGCCATTGAAAATTTCGACCATCGCGTGGACGTCTGTAAATCCAGTCGTGGTGAACATTTGAGCGATATTATTTTTCATACATAAATGGTATAAATGAACCTTCAAAATAAAGTACCCAACTTCATTTGAATATCAATCTTGTTTAATAGGCGTTTACTTTCCTGCGTACGTTTTGGACAACCCCATATTGATATGTTTTTCTTTAATTTTCCAACAAAACCTTTTTGGCACTTAGACGCTTTTGAATTACCACTCTTCAATCATTCATCTTCGATAATAGGTGGTAATAGCTATTATTTCGTAGGTTCTTATAAAATATATAGGTAACCCCACAAATATCTAGGATTAGTAGCAGACAATAAAATTGTCAATACCCTGAAAATACTTGCCGGAAAATACCTGACTCATTATAGTTTCCACAGAAAAGGGTAACAATTTCAATTATTTATATGGGTATTTAGCAGGTCGGTACCCTAATGTTCTAGGTATCTGGATGTGATTTGATTCGGATAAGTATACCTGCGACTTCAATATAAATTCCTGGTTGTCTTATGAGCGTTTATATTGTGTCCGTTAATGATGCTGTCACAGTGAATTTTGAATATAATGCAACATTTCTATTTTCATTCTCCCTTGTTACAAGCGAAAGTATCTCGATACACCATCGAAAAATGCTAACGTGTCGCTAAGCTCTATTCAAAGTAGAAAAAAATTGCGTCAAGTAGATTGACTCTGTATTTCCCACGTAATTCAGGACAAATGAACTTTTGAGTCAACTTTTGTACGCTCTGGTATCTTTATTGTTTGCAGGCTATTAAAATCATTCTACCTTAGCTTAAGGCCGTAGAGTGGAATGAAGCGTATCTGAATCAAGTTTTTTACAGAGATTGGTGATCATTTTTTTTAATTCATGAGGACAAATTTGCTCTTTATGAACGCTGTGAGCACCATCAAAAGCGCCCATCAATGGAGGAATGACTCGACGACACGACATGCATTGTTGGTTGCTTGTCTGTTGCAGAAAGCCGAGTAGTCTGTAGTCTTTATCTCTGAGAAGATATGAAAGAAAGAAAGTTGGTTGAATAGCAAGATCGAACCTGGATCATTATGTGTATTGGTTTGCATGGGTGATATTTGCTATGTGAGAAAATTATAACTGAATATGCTGCCAATGAAGCACATATATTTATTAGCTGTGCCCGACCGATTATTTATATATTGTCCTTTCTGGAGAGAGGTTGGCCCGAGCAAAGACAACATGGCCACGCAACACAGCTGTTGAAATATACGCTACTAGGATTTACAAGACTGTCCGTAGCGAAATTCTTTCCGAAATCGTTGCGCAACACTTAAAAAAATGCAAATGAAAATTGGAAAATTGACACATTGACGTTCAAGATGGCTCCGTAGGTACCCCAGGCTAGACATAAGTTTTGGCAGCTGTTATTCTTGTTACCTGAATTGCTGCGTTGCCAGCTCATCGGAGGGTTTTGCTACCTTTAATCATAATAAAATATTCAGGAGAATGGAAATTGGAGAAGCATAAGATTTAAGGCGTAATACTGTTTGCCAAATAGCTAAAGGTGACTCCCATAAATATTTCCATTGTATGTGTATATCGACTTGCTAGCATTATTGTAATATGTATAATATTATATTGTATTAACAATAACTCATACTGTTATAACTTTATTGTTTGATAAATTGTAGATTAAGAAAAGTATGTCTGACAATTATTGTTACATATAAAATTATTTGTTTGTAAGAACCTATAATATATTTTTTAGTTGTTTTACATTATTCATCATAAAAATAGTTCTTTGTTAAATGAATTATTTTTATTATACCAAGTGAAATATAAAATGCAACACCCAGAATTATTTATTGAATATCGATAAAAACTTGTAAAAACATATTTGCTATCATGGAAGTATACGCTGATAAAATGTTGAAGGGATTCGGGACCGTACTTTTTTATAAAGACTTTTTTATATTTTACTGTAATTTAAATATCAAAATATCATGCTTGCTGTTACCCCAAAATATCTAGATACACACTATTTATATTGTTTTATGTTTATGTGCAAATTATGGCACGGGACATAAACGATTAAAAATAGAAACATGAAGACCACCAGTCTTGTTTTGTTTGTTCTTGCACGAACAATGGGAATAATTATAGGAACCACCTATAGCTATTTGGCAAATATTACGCCTTAAGTCTTATGTTTCTTCATTGGTATATTTTATTCAAAGCTTCTTTTTTTATAAAATTCTAACAAAATGTTTTCTGGAAAGATGCCGGATTCATAAGTTATCTGGAAGAGACGCGAAAGAAGTGGAGCAAGCACCGCTGCACACGTCTTCAGTACAATGTTATATCAACTTTTCTCGAGTAATAGTGTCAGGATGCACTGTGTTCCCTTGCTAGAGTCCGTGTGGCGTCCCCATTGCCCCTGTAGCTCCTTAGATCTTTGTCGTTGTTCAGGTATAAAAAATTCTATTTTCATACCCTATGATTAGTGCACGAAACTCGGTACACCGGGTTGATTTGAAATGCTGAGAATGACTATAGAAAAACTTTAAAGTGTCTTGAAGCCCAGTTAGGGTGTGAGCTGAGCTTGGAGCTCTGGTTGATTCTGAAAAACAGCATTGGCTGATGTAACCCGCCAGGTAAAACAAAGGCCATTTATTATTATTATTATCAGATTTGTGGTCTATGCACCAAATTCACTTTTGTTGTTTTTAAAAATCGAACTAGTATTACCTTTCATGGAATGCAACGAGCGGATCTTCCAGCAGATCACTACAGTCAATCGTTTTTCCTTTGCTTAGAACCTCAGGATGCTTCTTCGTCATCAACCAACCCACATGAGAGAAGAAGAATCCTCTGTTCGAATTGTGAGGATCCGCATCGGTTTCACTGAACTTGTGGTGGACTCTGTGATCTCGCACCCACTGTACTATAGAGTTCTGGAATAGAAACGACGATATAGTCTTTCTAATAGCAGATAGAATTTTATGGAAATGAGGCATAATCATATCCATAAAGCCAGTCACTATTCATATAAAGCAGCAATTCATTAACCTCATCTACAAAACAGAAAAGAATCTGAAGATGTACGAAAGGAAAACACGATGGAATCTTTCTGAAGCTAAGAAGTTTATTTATTTTATTTATTTATTTATTTTGCGATTAGTACACTGCTCGAACAGATAATTCCATTTAACGAACAGGAAATATACAAAATACAAAAAAAAGAAAAAAAAATCAATAAACACGTATCAAGTACATTACATCTAAATAAGTTCTTAACCTACAGTCAAAAACGACCTTTTTAAAAGTGATATAGTGCAATGAAAAATGTCTACTAAATTCTTTACTTTTTCATAGTTGTTACACATTACATATAATGGCGAAAAAAGTAACACACTGGTACGAGGCACAGGTAAATAGAAATTGGTATTGTTAAACCTTATGTTTCGGTACGGTACGTGTAATGACAGCTTTTCTAAAAGAAACTTACAATCAACTGTGTTGTACAAAATTGTATATAAGAAAACCACAGCGCAGTAATTTCTGCGCTTAGATAAATTTACCATATTAAATCTACTGAGCAATAAGTTTGTTTCTTATGAACCTAGGTCCAAACATGTCTCTTTGGCGATATACGTTATACTAAGTTAGCACTACTAGTCCTGAGACAATTTAGCCGAATCAAGCTTCAGCACGCCTGAATATTGTTTTCCCGTAGTAAAATTTTTGGATTTTGTCTCAAATAATCTAATCAAAAGCCTTTGGAATAGTCGCTTATGTATTGAGGGCCTAATATGTCGTTCCTTCTGAAGTTTTGTTATGTTCTTGAAAATGTTAATTATATTTTTGTGTGTTATATTATTTCATGTTTTTGTAATATTTTGAACTTGCGCAGTTGCCTTATCTTTCCAGTGATTCTTCAGAAAAGCTACACAGTGACGTGAAACCGAATCACTCTTAGCAAACTGACTAAGGCTACCGGAATACGAAACATGGGCATGAAAACGCACGAAAAATAACAATTTGCATTTTGTTATAGAGTGACTGAATAGTTTTGCCAATATCAACTGGTTTGTTTCGCAAAAAATGGATATGTTTTTTCTTATAATTTCGATAACGTTCTGCTAGTCTAATATTTTGGGTTGTATCGCTTTGTATGGCATACCAAGAAAGAGCAGAAATCAACGAAAAATTTTTATCATCTTAAATTTAATTGTAGCCATAAATTCTTTGGAAAAGCTAGGAAACACTGGAAAATCTAACCGTTCAATGAACCAACTTTATATTTTATAACGTGTACGGGATATTTCGATAACGTGGACATTATTTCTATAGGGAGTCTATACATTACGTTAAATTATAATAATAAGAAAACAAAAAAGTTTTACCTCGTCATTTAACAAGAATGGTTCATCGCATAACTTTGGCTTTTTTATAGGATTTCAGAATATTGCGCATTACTCAAAATGGGGTGTATTATTACCCTTTGGAATTTTGGTATCCACTTTGTATATGCACCAATTCATCAACCAGAAATGCAGCTTACTAACTTGACCCTTTCAAAAAATAAGTATGGTGCCCTTTTTGTAAAGCATTGTATAATCGCTACTCTTCATTTCTCAAGTTATCTATTAAAATAACTACATATTCTTGCATAAACTTGCACAATACGGTTCTGATATTATTAGATTTCACAGCTCTTTTAATATGAGTCACAGACATGCGACGTTGTTGTGAAGCTTGTGATGATAACCTTACTTATTTTGAATGAATAATTCACCTGTCCAGCGCAGCTATAGCAAATCAAAAGTATCACCCTCAATGGAAGTTTGGCTTTGTAAGAACGATGAGTCCAGTACCTGTGGGCCCCAGCAGTTATTCCAAATCCACATATTCCGCCAAGAATAAGACCTGCAACATAATCCTTGTGTATCGTGGTACCTGTCTTTGGAATGGCGAAGTGAATTGGCAATCAAAAAAGTTCCTTTGTTGCAAATACTGCGACCTCTTATCGAAAATCGCGAATAGGAACGAACAGCGAAAAATATATTGCAATTTTAGAAATACGCAGGAATCAGTGAGTTTGAAAAAGATACAGTTGATATGGAGTTTAAAAACAAATTTCAAGTTGGGCCTTTCTATTTCACAGGCTAGGTACTGCTTAAAAAACTTGATGAATTGTGACATATGAGATGGCTAGATTTCTCTTGATATCCCTGGTGTTACTGGGGAAACCAAAATTTCGTAAAGTCAAAATTGGGGATATAAAACTGCAACCATGAAATTTATATTCCACGGGTTCCCTTGATGGATTAAAATATTTGAGGTGACATTAGATTTGTCTTGTAGCATAATTAATAACTCACTCTTTTTGTCACTGCAGAGACTTTTTTATTTAAAAAAAATGAACTGGTTTTGTCTAATTTAACTGAACAATTTTAGGTTTGTTTGCGTACTTACAATATAAAATTATTCCTGGCGTTCTGATAACAATAAAATGTTCAAACAGGGCGTAAACAGCAATGATATGGAATATTGTTATCAGTATCACATTTCCCCATATTACTGGTGTTTCGAATTCCCAAAATAAGAATTTGTATTTCCCATCTTTCGGTTGTGCGTTTTTCTTCTCAACTTTCAAATCTTCTGGCGGTTCATGGGAAATTAGGCTTATATACGATTCGATGTTTTCTGACGCCTTTGTGGTTGTTACAGTCATTGTTCTAGATTTTAATACCTGTAATAAAGGTACTAAAATTATTCCAAGGAATGCACATAAAGTTATATATCTAAGGGCCGTATCGTCATTCGTTCCTAAAATTGTAGGACGCCTTTATGACTCCTTGATTTTCATAGTTTTTCCTGTCCAACAGAATGGCAGGGGCATTTCTAGATTTCTACTGTTTCGTGTCAGGGCTTCATTTTGAGGTTATATTTTTTTATTCTAAGAAATTTCAGGCTGATAAAACATGGTTTTTATCATCTGTTTTCTCAGCGTGAAATTAACATTCAAATAGAAAAATTAACCTCACATTATGCGTTGTCACTGACACGGTACTGTAGAAACCTAGAAATTACATTTTACAAAAAATCGCGCAAATTAATTAGATCCATTACTTCAAAGTCGCATTTCTATTGGTTCAATTCAATAGTAAAATCAGGCCTTATTCACTCAAATTAAAAAAAAATTACATAATAGATTGTAGAGCGACCACTTCCTACTCAACTCACCAAATATGTTGTGAATGTCACCCCGATAAATGAGAACTTTCATAGAAAGGTACCGTCAATCAACTGTACTGACCAATCAGATGCTCATTTGTTTCACTACTAAGCTGTCCCTATTTCTTCATTGAGAAAGATAAGAGGTGGTGATATTTCTTGCTTGAAGGACTTTGTTGATGTTTACGACAGGTACATAATAGTCAGTGTAAAATAAAAAATCAAAGATGTGCAACACGGTGTTTTATGATTGTATTAAATGGTAGTAAAAGACGTTTGCTTTTGCCTTTGCTATGAAAAATCTAACCAAGATGTTTCTAGATATGTATACAGGTGGAATTAGAAAATTGGGAAGACTTCGTCTGGAGTACTGCTCACATGGCTGGGAAGCGACATTGTCAATATTTGTGTTTCAGAGCAAGGGTGTGTGACTTGTATGTTCCAAAACTTTGACCGAACGTGTGTTTTCAAACGGATCTTTTCCTTTGTGCTTCAGTCAACAACGATAGCAAAAAATGAGGCTAGGGGAAGAGTTTTTATGACTACTAAAACGAACGGTGGTACTTTGACAGTACGCACTACTGACAATCATAAGGGGTCACTTATTTTTTAATCTTGATGTGAAGCTAACTCCAAAATTTCAAGGTCTTGTGAAATTTTTTCATTGAAAAGCTTTTGTACTACATATTTGTATTATGATTTGTCAAAACTGGTAAAGGAAGGTCTGGAATCATAGAACCACAGAACGACAAGTGACCATAAAATTAGCAGATCTCAAAAATTTACCTTGTCACATCGCATACACATGATGAAATTAATTTAAAACATGCATATTCCTTGCATTTGTTTTTATCTGTGATTTAAAATTCAGATTTCTGTTATATTTTGAACAATATGTTTTGATAACATAAAATTATTTTAATTAAGCTTTCGGGCAACACCGCTGTATAAGGAAAAATGACGAAATAAGTCCTCTCCTATTTTGCGTAACTAAGTAACAGAGCTTCTTATTCATATAAAGGAGAACGAAGGATTTTCTACCAACTGCACAAAATCGGAATAAAGAAGATCATGAGGAAGGATAAAAAACAAGAATACTAAAAACTCTCTAATATACTAAGTGACATATAAATCCGAACACCCAGTTTGAATGGTTTTATTTTAATCAAATTTTGTATAAGTACTTAATGAAGCATAATAAGTAAATGATAAAAATTTCAAAATGATTGCACTGCTTTAAAGCCCTTTGACCTTTAATAATGTGTGGATGCACCCTGATGTGCTACGCATTTTCCAACGCGCCTAAGCATGCTTCTGATCAGGTGGTCAATGTCCTCCTGTTTTATCTCATTCCAGGCAACCACCAACTCCTCTCGAAGTGCTTCTAGAGTCTGAGGAGGACGTTGCAAATTGAGCAATCTCCTACCCATCATATCCCACACGTGCTCATTGGAGATAAGTCGGGAGATCTTGGTGGCCATGGTAACAATGTGACATCATTATGTTGAAAGAAGTCTATTGTGACTCTTGCAACATGTGGTCGGGCATTATCTTGTAGGAAAGTTGGATCTGCCAGGGTGTCAAGATAGGGTAAAAGATGGGGTTCTAGAACTTCGTGGATATAACGCTGCCCGTTCATGTTACCTCTGATGAAGATTAAAGGTGACCTGGAACCATAAGCTATAGCACCCCAAACCATAACTCCAACAGTGTGATGAACATGTCTTTCAACAAAAAACTGTGGATTCCTCCTTTCACCACGTCGCCTTCTAACCCTGGCACGACCATCGTGCATGCCTAAACAAAATCGAGACTCGTCACTAAAGACAATACTGTTCCATTCCTGATCCCAGAGTGACTGTTGTCTGCACCACTCAAGGCGATTACGTCGGTGTTCTCGAGTTAAAGGGAGGACCCAGTGTGGCCGGTATGAAAACAAGCCAAAACTTCTCATTCGTCGGTAAACACTTCGCATGCCAATAGGTCTTCCGTGTTCTGCAAACCATTAATTTGCAATGGACCTGGTAGTGGAGAAACGGTCCCTTAAGGCCAATAATCTTAGGCGGCGATCTTCAGGGTCTGTTGTTCTACGGCGGCGTCCAGTGCCCCTTGCTCTTTGCGTACGGCCTTCTCGAAGCCATGCCTGACAACACCTAACTACAGTTCTACTAGTACTACACTTCTTTGCACTCTAACTCCAATTGCCCGAAAAGAAAGTCCAGCTTCCCGAAGTCCCACTATACGGCCCTTATCAAACTCACTAAGTTGACGAAATCGTACAGGTCTCCGTACTCTAGGCATCGTAACCGATCGTAAAGGATGTCAAGAACCAAAATCCGCCAACGTTGATTCTTTACTGCGGCTGAAATATTCATTTTTAGAGCTTTAGTGAATTAAAAAAAAGCAGTATAAAAACCGGAATGTCCAACTGATAAGGCTGAACATTTTTACACTTGTTATTTACAGTAAGATAAATACATTCACCAACTTTTATTAAAATAAAACCATTTAAACTGGGTGTTCGGATTTATATGTCACTTAGTATAGTTCCACCTCTTTTAGGCCTACTAGGGGATAAACCACTTTTTTTCCCTCCAGAGTAGAATGTGAATTGTGAAACAATCTACCAGAAAAAGGATTTCCCTGTTCCACTTTAACACGATTCCCAATGATAACGGCCAAATTTTAAATATGGATATATGGAATGACACCTACCTATATCAATTTGAGAATAAAGTGCACTAGCTCACTATATTGCTCAGGGTTACTTTGAACATACACGTACACTTGGAGAGTCACTCACATTTTGGAAGAATTTCCACCTGAAAACGTTTTTTAATGATAAGACACGTTCAAGTGCGAAAAGTCATGATACTGTTCACGAAGTAAACGCTTAATTGTTTTCAATCACTACAAAAATATTTTCTATTTATAATTGTCTTTAACAACATTGCGAAATTTTAGTTAGACATACACTAGCAAGTGTGCTGATATGCTAAAAAGTCAATGGAATAGATGAATATATCCCCTTTTTACTTACTGCTCGCATAATTGAGAATGAGTGAAATGTTGCTTTGAAAAATTTTCGAATTTGGAATGCTTTCACCGCGAAATCACGTCACTAATCTTTGTCTATTTGTCTGTTCATATCTTTGTACCACCGAATAATCTACATGAAGACGCTGAACTTATGTCATACTCTTTGAAGTCATAGTCTTCTGTTTATCGAAAGTTTTTCGAACTCTTGATTATTCCTGTTCAGGGCGAAATTTAATATTTGAAAAAACACTTTGCGATCGTGTGCGTTTCTTACTTCCTACACCACTGGCGAGAAAGTATTGTAATCGCAGAAAATTTCAAAAATGAAATATGTTTTTATGCATCACGAATGACCATGTCACTCATTTGAGTCGGTCTGTCTGTCTGTCGGCTAATTCTTGGCCCGTTTGTAACTTGGGAAATACCTACCGCTCGGCTTCTAGGAAATTTTCACGCAAAAGAAAAAAATAGGAATCGCTCAGACTTTGTTTTTTGACGTTTCAGAGGCTCCTGATTATTTTTAACTAATTCGTTATGCCACTGCCTACAAATGACAAAATATGTTACAAATTTTTGACTTTCTATAAAATAATCAGACACTTAGGAAAACTTGAGGTTTAGAAAATGTCACCACCTGCAACTTTCTGTATTCAATAACATGAAATCATACCATGAGGCCTTAAGTGACACTTTTATATACTGTATCATTATAAGTCTAATCATATTAGACGAAAATGCCCCTGGTTTGCGAAATAATTGTAAAGTCTGGTTTTATTGATGCAAGTTGTTCAAGGGATTTTAAATCCATAGACGCATAAAGTGGGTACACCAATTTTGTCGGAAAACTTTTCATTCGATAACAAAGAATGAAAAATGTGTTTTCTGGGATTCAATCAAAACTGTTGGCAGGTACGAAAAAACTCTTCAAAGAAGGTTTTTAGATATTAATGAGACCTACAAGATAAGATGACAAGAAAAAAGATGCGACTAATAGCAAAAAAGTTATGGCCCAAAAACGAGGCAAGTAGTTTTTGAGAATTTCTAATTGCTTACCCCAAAACACCTGTTTTCCGGACATGAGTACTAGTTTATAGAGGGTTACAGGGTTCGTTTGTTTCAAGATTTCTTCATACTGAGACCCAGCATTTTTACACGATTTCGAATGAGTTGTAAAGTTTATAAAAAAATGTTTCATACTGAAATGTACTGAACTGTTTATAAAGTTATGAAACCAACTCTTGGTTTACTGGACCTTTATACCACTGTACTTGACACTGATAAATGTCAAGCGAACGTTGACTGCAGATCAAATATGGTATAAACAATTAGAATAATCTCAAAAACTAAACAAGATACAATGCTAAAACTTCAAAGAATGTATTAGAAACTAATGAGGAGCATTTTGCCTAATTTCTCAGAAGGTCAGTTCGCTACAATTGCTTGATTTTTGTCTCATGTTTTTCCGTTTTTTTGAGTTTATTTTACAACATTTTGAGCTCGCAGACCTTTAATCGTACAAGATATTGAAAACAAACGTGTACTATATTAATACTTTCAGAGAAAAGGTCGAGGGTATTATATTTCTTCGTAAAGAAACAGGATTGCGTGACCTGCTTATCTGTCAGTCATGCAGTCATGAATAATATAGCTATTTAGCACGTGTAACATAACCATTCAGGCTAAAACAGTTTAAAAGATAATTGTGTCTTCAGTTTGCTTGTTAACTTTAAAAACAGTTCAGTGCATTTCAGTATGAAATATTTTTTTTTTATAAACTAAGGCTTATCTGTGACCATTGAAAAATTATAGCTCTAAATATGTATACATAAGATGTGAAGAAAAAAAATTTCTTCGCAACAAAAGGGGATAGACACATTCGCTTTGTTTTAAAATGTGTATAAGTATGCTTTCCAAATATCGTGGCGCATCTGTTCAATTACTCACGAATACGAAATGTTTGAATCTGTTTAGAAGAAAAAAACGCATAAAAATAACATTTAAACCCATAAAAATAACATTTATCTTTGAGAATGGTTTGTGATTCATATCGGCAAGGTAAACCAGTAGTGGTGGCATTAAAACAGGTGTTTTGGGATAAACAATTATACATTCTCAAAAACTACTCGACCAAAATACTCCAATTTTGTTGTGGTTACTTAGAGTTATAAATCCTACGGATCTTAAGAATTTCAAGTAGCTGCGTGAAATTATCGTCGCATTACCAACAAGTGCCATTTTGCCTCGTTTTTCGGTTATAACTTTTTTGCTATTAGTCGCATCTTTTTACGTCATCACATTTCGTAGGTCTTATAAATACCTAAAAATCTTATTTGAAGAGTTGTTTCTTTCTTGCCAACACTTTTGATTGAATCCCAAAAAACACGTTTTCTCATTCTTTGTTGTCGAATAAGTTTTCCCTCAAAAATTGATCCGTTTTATGCGTCCATATTTTAAATACCCTCTCGAATAACTTGCATCGATAAAACCAAACTTAAACAATTATTTCGGGGAAATTTGCTAATATGATTAGACTGTAACGTAGAATGTTTGAAAAACGTGTTATCTCGAAATCTATCATTTCCACCATTACAGTTGTTTCCTTTGGGTGATTCCTTTAGGAAGTTATAAAAAATCGTTGTCTCTTTTTCCCAATGGAACTAGAAGCAGATATGTTTAGAATTATGTTTGCGGGTTTAATACATTGACCTCAAGCGATTTTATACAATCAGTGGTCAAACTCAAATTAACCTTTATTTGTATTTGCAAAAATAAACAGTCGTACCTATTGAATGCTATCTTGATCCAAACATCTATTATATGAAAATGGCATCTGAATGGTTATTGAACCTTTCCCTGTAGAATAGAATTCATTACTGAAAACAATAATCAAAATATGCTACAAGTATTGACTTAGGACTGGACGCCGTATACGAGTATGCTTGAATTACCTTTGACTGACGACATATCGGCCACCGATGTGGCATTTTTCAAGTACAATTTTCAACGACAGTAAGTCTTGTTGTATCTGTCATCCAGATTATAGTGCAGTTATTTTTTTTTCTCCGCTACTGTTGTGTTGCGAGAACAGCCTGATCGTTCCTGTACCATGTCGAAATCGCGAAGTCATCACTATACTTTTTGCATCGCAAAGCCCGGGACTACCAGCATGAAAACCACAGCATAAGTTTGAAGCGTTACATTAGGTAATCTCTTGTTGCTGTTTCATTTTGGGGGCAAGTTCATGTCATGTATACTGATTTTACAAAAGCCTTTGACAAAATTGACATACTTTGATAAAACACTGAATACATGGGAATCAACAGAACTTACGTGGATCTTCTCAGGTCTTATCTAGACTTGAGAACTCTATATTTATTCTATAATGGAGTTAGTTCTGACAAACATATGTCAAGTAGTGGTGTACCTCAGGGTTACAATTTGGTCCCGTATTGCTTGCTTTATACGTCAACGATTTTTGCAGTTCATTATCATGCAAGAAGCTTATGCTTGCTAATAACCTGAAGCTTGATACATCTGTTTCTAGCTGACAAGATTGTGGAAACCTCCAACAACAAATTTTTTTTTACAAATATGGTGTATCAATAAAAAATTTGTATTTGGACAACTCTAAATGCAGCATTTTAACCTTCACCCTTCAAACTATTAACTTACCCATACAAAATAAATTACTCTGTATTGGAAAGGTGCGAAACTTTCAAAGATCTGGGCGTGTATTTCGATTGTCAGCTCACCTTCAACTACCACATCATTGAAATAATTATAAGTAATGCGTATCGCACACATGGCTTTATTATCAGAAATTGTAGAAATTTCAATGTCACAACGCTTATTAAGTTATTTTCTGTACTTGTTGTAAGTAAATTAGAATACGGTGCAATTATTGGGAGCCCTATCTATGAACTCTACAAAATAATATTGAAAAGTGCAAAGGAAATTTCTAAAATATCTATCTTCCAAGATGATATGACTACTCATTATTTTTGATTAGATTTGAGGTCCCTTCTTTGGAGAAGCGCAAAGATCAGCCGACGTTCATATTTTTATACAAATTACTGCACGGTAACATCGACTGTCCTGTTTTGCTATCACAAATTAATTTCTTGGTACATAGATTGACATCCAAATATAAAGCTTCCTTTTCCTGCAAGAGGACACAGACAAATCTTCTATCAAAGCAATAAGAAACTGTATGTGCAATAAGGCGGCTAGGATTTGGAGTTTTTGTAATATCTTCTGTTGTGGATTTCAGGAATTAAGAAGTGCTATACGCTCATATCTCTTACTTTTCTTACCCCTTTCTCTAGATGTTTTGGTTTGTTATATATACTAAGTGACATATAAATCCGAACACCCAGTTTAAATGGTTTTATTTTAATAAAAGTTGGTGAATGTATTTATCTAACTGTAAATAACAAGTGAAAAAATTTTCAGCCTTATCAGTTGGACATTCCGGTTTTTATACTGTTTTTTTTGAATTCACTAACGCTCTAAAAATGAATATTTTAGCCGCAGTAAAGAATCAACGTTGGCGGATTTTGGTTCTTGACATCCTTTACGATCGGTTACGATGCCTAGAGTACGGAGACCTGTACGATTTCGTCAACTTAGTGAGTTTGATAGGGGCCGTATAGTGGGACTTCGGGAAGCTGGACTTTTTTTTCGGGCAGTTTAGAGTGCAAAGAAGTGTAGACACTGTGGTTAGGTGTTGTCAGGCATGGCTTCGAGAAGGCCGTACGCAAAGAGCAAGAAGCACTGGACGCCGCCGTAGAACAACAGACCGTGAAGATCGCCGCCTAAGATTATTGGCCTTAAGGGACCGTTTCTCCACTGCCAGGTCCATTGCAAATGAATGGTTTGCAGAACACGGAAGACCTATTGGCCTGCGAAGTGTTTACCGACGAATGAGAAGTTTTGGCTTGTTTTCATACCGGCCACACTGGGTCCTCCCTTTAACTCGAGAACACCGACGTAATCGCCTTGAGTGGTGCAGACAACGGTCACTCTGGGATCAGGAATGGAACAGTATTGTCTTTAGTGACGAGTCTCGATTTTGTTTAGGCATGCACGATGATCGTGCCAGGGTTAGAAGGCGACGTGGTGAAAGGAGGAATCCACAGTTTTTTGTTGGAAGACATGTTCATTACACTGTTAGAGTTATGGTTTGGGGTGCTATAGCTTATGGTTCCAGGTCAGCTTTAATCTTCATCAGAGGTAACATGAACGCGCAGCGTTATATCCACGAAGTTCTAGAACCCCATCTTTTACCCTATCTTGACACCCTGGCAGATCCAACTTTCCAACAAGATAATGCCCGACCACATGTTGCAAGAGTCATAATAGACTTCTTTCAACATAATGATGTCACATTGTTACCATGGCCACCAAGATCTCCCGACTTATCCCCAATTGAGCACGTGTGGGATATGATGGGTAGGAGATTTTGCAACGTCCTCCTCAGACTGTAAAAGCACTTCGAGAGGAGTTGGTGGTTACCTGGAATGAGATACCACAGGAGGACATTGACCACCTGATCAGAAGCATGCCTAGGCGCGTTGGAGAATGCGTAGCACATCAGGGTGCATCCGCACATTATTAAAGGTCAAAGGGCTTTAAAGCAGTGCAATCATTTTGAAATTTTTATCATTTACTTATTATGCTTCATTAAGTACTTATCCAAATTATATTAAAATAAAACCATTTAAACTGGGTGTTCGGATTTATATGTCACTTAGTATATCTATATATCTTTATAATCTTTTAACATATATTTTTCAGCATAGAAATGATTATCTTAAGCATACTGACATCCATGACTACAGCACTCGTAATAAAAATAATATAGTTAGGCATGTGTCATATCATACGTTTGATTCAAAATCTCCCATAACAGCAGGAATATACTTTTTTAATTTATTACCTCCGGAGATCAAAAACGTAAACTCCGTAGGGCTTTTCAAAAGACGTTTGCGGAACAAGCTATCGGACTACGGTTTTTATGACCTAGGTGAATTTGTCACATTCCACGGTGCTTCTGATAGATCTTAACAAATAATTTATTGCCATGTGTGTATCATATGGTTTTTTTATGTTCTTATTGTTATTTGCATTTTACTTCCTTTTATCTATATTTTAATCTGTATACACCGACTTATCCAATGTCTACAATGTAGATCTAGCTGGATCAATAAATGAATCTGAATCTGAATCTGAATGAGTCGAAGTTCTAGAATAACCCTGATGTTCAATGACTTGAATTTGTACCATCCTGTAGCGATATGGTGATTGGTAACGAAGAAATAATGATCTACCTGATTTAATATCGACACGGTACGAATGGTTATAGAAGTTTCGCGATTGCTTCTTAATTTTCTTGTGACTAATTTCATTACCCTTTTGCGTGTTGAAGCCTTAATTACTATCATGGAATCATGCTATGTATGAACTGTCATCTACATAACACTCCAATATCAATATGTTTCCTATACCGAGATGGATGGCTTGCCTACTCCTCGCGTTGGTGTGGATTGCAGGAGCATTTTGTGGTAACGAGAAGAAGTGCAAGATGTGTCTTAACCAGAGAAAACTGTCTTTTGTTACTGAATACGTGAAGTGGAGAGCTATACCCAGACTGATACTCCTAGACTCGGAAATTTCCTCAGGTATCATTCATTAAGTATTAAAACTTGTTGACTGTCGGGTGTAAGGTAAGATAAAAGTTTATTCACGGCATGTCAGGTACGTCTTAAATAATCAGTCTTGCTCATTGCTGTTGAGAGGGCTGTCCAAGTGATCGATGACTGTTCTCTAACGTACATCCGGAACTGACCAATATGACCGAACTTTTGTCCCTAGAGTATCGAGCTTGTGGCACAATCTATACACCTTAGGAAAAACCATTGTTATACATGGGAAATCATTTCTTGGCAACAGCGCATCGGCTCGTCAAGTGCGATAAGGGATTCATGACTCACTCTGCGGTTGGGTTTTGTGTAGGAAAGGTGCGTCTTTATTTAATCCAAAATATCTTAAAAATGTACTCGCAAGAAGAAACGTTTCAAATGATGGAAAATTCAAGAGGGTGGACTGCTTACATAAGTGCCATAGCTGCATGCACCCTGAAGGTTGGAAACCAAAAATTAGCGAGAAAAGGGAGGAGATCGAAACTGCTGTTTGTGCCGCTGCAGAAGTATCTGAGCCATGCTCAAGCAGAAAAATTGCTGAAATGGTACCAATAGCCGATCTCACACCCAGAACAACAAGAAATATTTTCGCAACGGCTATCATAGCTTCAAGGTTGGAACGGTTCAAGAAATATTTCCTTTAGACAAATACCGTCGAATGGAGTTTTGTGAAACGGTCATGGAGAAGGCGAACAGGGATGGAAGTTTTATTGGTAACATTTTGTTTACTGATGAATCCACATTCCCTCTCCACGGTCATCACAATCCTTCAGTCGTTCGGTATTGGTCTCGGGAAAATAAACACCTCAGTATTCCCGTCCGCACGCAGTATCCACAGAAACTGAATGTGTGGGCAGGAATTCTAGGTAATAACATTATCGGACCGTTCTTTATTGATGGAACTCTTACCGCTGCAAAATATTTGGCGTTACTACAGACGCAGATTGTTCCTGCAATTAGGCAGCTTGGCATTGTTCTCGCTAATATTTGGTTCCAACAAGATGGATGCCCGGCGCATAATGCGGCGATCGTACACACTTACCTTAAAAGTGTGTTCGGCCACCGGATTATTGGCGGTAACGGAACAATAAAATGGCCTCCTAGATCACCCGATCTAGCGACCAATGATTTTTTCTTGTGGGGTTATGTGAAAAGTACTGTTTACACTTTCAAAGAGAGAGCAGACAATTTGCATAACCTACAGGTGAAAATCGTTGAAGCGCTCGGGCAAATACAGCCTTCTACCCTCTTGAGAGTTCGTCAGGAGTTTTATAACCGCCTGACATACTCTTCATTGAATGAAGGAGACGTTTTTGAGCCCCAGCTGTGAAGGACCATTTGAAACATTTGTGTTCATTATTGCGTTTTATTTTTGAGAATTTATTTTTTTGTTAGAATATCTTTTTATTTTCGTTACACATTTTTAAGAGTGTACTATTTTTTGTTAGAGTGGGTATCTTCTTATTTTTGTTATGAGACACAACCTTTATTGCTACAAAACCAATTATCCATTCATAAAAATAAGTAGAGTGATTTAGGTGATTTCGTGAAATCTCGAAATCACCGAAATCGGTTCACAGGACGTCCAATCGAACTGGTGCGTAATGCGCGCATCTACTGTACTTCTTCTGTCGACTCAACGCATACTGAAATTTGCAGCAGACCGCAGACCTGTATCACGAATGAGAATAATAGGCAGATACGCTGTGTTGCCAATTTGAGTAGAGCTTCCCGAATTGTGGGGAATTTAGAGTTAAGTGTTGATTCATTCAAGCTTTTAATCAGCATGGCCTAGACGTTAGAACTTCATAAAGATAACATTGAAGCTGAATGCTGCTGGAGTATAGTGTTTCGAATATTCAAAGCGGAGCGGGACACTATACTCGTTCAATGGGTCATCAAGCCACAGTCTTTTCAACAAAGAAATTATTTTTCGAAAATGCGTTATATTTTCACGATTTTGTCGTCACCAAATCTCTGTTTCTCAAAATGTACGTCTATTGTAGAATTTTCAGCAAACTAAGCAAGAAACGTGATCTAGTATTTACTCAACATTACGGATTTCTCGAAATACTCGTACATTAAAAAATGTGACCTAGATACCTAACTGCCCAAGCTCTTTAAATAATAACACCTTAAACCAGGGTTCCCAGGTGCTCAGTCACGTTGATTGTCATGTTGTACTGCGCAAGTCAGCAAACAATCTGGCGTAATAAAAGTTAGGAATCATCAGGTATTGCCAGATTGCCGAATACCGGGCACCATAGTACCCGTTATAGTTGTCCTTCAAAGTTGTCAAATCGCCCCTATGGCGCAAATTCGCCACACCAGGCAACTGTGCTATAAACAAACCCTGTTTATCACTACTATTTGATAGTCATATGGTAGTTGTAGCCCTATCTAGCGGTCCATGATTTCTCTCAATACTGTTGTATCTCTACTGGCAACAAGAATAGGGATTACAAAATCATTTATACAACAATATACAAACATGAAAAATATGATTTGAACCATGAAACATTAATACAATTTTAATAGTTTGAACTTTTTTCATTTTTGGAATACTCTTATGTGGAATCCGCAGCTATTTTGCCCGAAATTTGGGTAGACTTAGATTTCTTAGAAATATGACATATTGGTATCGGCAACTCTGCGAATGGGAGAAACAAATCGCATTTGTTGAGCGCATCTATCTAAGCGGCAGGCGCCAGCGCCCGTTCTGCCATCTCTCTTTTATCACTCTTCTACTTTACCCCGTTGTCCGTCACACTCCGACGCTGCCAGATAGGATCCTACAATCGAGTGTCTTTCACGCACCTACATACTTTTGTATATTTCCATCTCTCTTCCTCATCATAATGTATAATAATGGTTTTTCCGAAGGTGTATGATAGTCTAAACATATTAGCAAATTTCCCCGAAATAATTGTAAGCTCTGGTTTTATTGCTGCAAAATGTTTAAGGGAGTATTTAAAAGATGGACGCAAAAAATGGGTAGACCAATTTTTGTGGGAAAACTTTTTGACAACAAAGAATGAGAAAACGTATTTTTTGGGATTGAATGAAAGTGTTGACAGAAACGAAAAAAATTTTCATGTAAGATTTTTAGGTATTTATGAGACCTACAGAATGAGACCACACGTAAAAAGATCCGACTGATAGCAAAAATGTTATGGCCGAAAAGCGAGGCAAAATGCAGGTTTTGGCACTTGTCGGTAACGCGACGATAATTTCACGCAACTACTTGAAATTCTTCAAATCCGTAGGATTTATACGTCTTAATAGCGACAACAAAATTGGAGTATATTGGTAAAGTAGTTTTTTGAGAATTTCTAATTGTTTATCCCAAAACACCTGTTTTCCGGCCATCACTACTAGTTTATTGAGCAACATACTGAGTTCGTTCAAAGAGCATTAAATAAAAAAATACACGTTTTTACCTTGCCCATATAAATCGCAAACTGTTCCGAAAGATAAATGTTATTTTTATGCTAAAAACAAAGGTTACGTTTTCCTTTCTTCTGAAGAAACTCAAACATTTCGTATTTGTGAGTAATTGAACAAATGCGATACGATATTCGAAAAACATACGTTATTATTTACATTTTAAAACAAAGCGGGTGTGTCCATCATCTTTTTGTTTAGAAGGAAAAACGTAAGCCACCTTTTCCGCATAAAAATAACATTTATCTTCCGGAATGGTTTGCGATTCGTATCGGTAAGGTAAACTAGTATATTTTGCTATAAAATGCTCTTTGACCTAACCCTGTATATTGCTAAATAAACTAGTAGTGATGGCCGGAAAACACGTGTTTTGGGATAAGCAAATAGATATTCTCAAAAACTACTTGACCAATCTACTCCAATTTTGTTGTGGTTATTTAGAGGTACGAATCCTACGAATATGGAAAATTTCAAGTATCTGCGAGAAACCATGGTCGCATTACCAGCAAGTGCCAGAACCTGCAGTCTGCCTCGGTTTTTGGTCATAACTTTTTTGTTATTAGTCGGATATTTTTTCGTGTGGACTCATTCTGTAGGTCTCATAAATACCTAAAAATCTTATACGAAGAGATTTTTCGTTCCCGCCAACACCTTCGATTGAATCCCAAAAAAGCATGTTTTCTCATTTTTTGTTGTCGATAAAAAAGTCTTCTCACAGAAATTGATGTGCCCATTTTATGTACCCATGTTTTGAATACCCCCTTGAGCAACTAGCATGCAGACTTTACAATCATTTCCCAAACCAGAGGTATTTTTGTCTAATGACTATGAAAATACTTATCCCAGTTTAACCTTAGGCAGTTCAAAAATCGGATTAACAAAGTTTCTTTGAGCTCCTTATAGCAGCCGCAGTACCCTGGCATTTAGGCTTCTGCCTATGCGGCTGCTTTGATGTAGAAAAAAGTAAAAATACAAAATACTATTTAAAAAAAGTTCTGATAATGTCCAAAAAATGGGCAAATTTTGAGTTGTTGTTATTTAATAGGTGAACTGGCTACCAAATCAAACATTTGACAAATCGTGTCACTCAAGGAAACAAGAAGCAAGTAATAGGTGATTCATTTAAAGGTACCTTTTCCAAAATCATGAAATCAGCTGTGACTTGCAATTTAATCTATCAATGATCAAAAAAAAGATGCAACCATGACATCCAATTTTTGGAAATTATTTTTTCCAATTGTTGGCCGTCACTGCTGAAACCGTGATCCATTTTGGAATTCCAATTTTCGATAACACGTCTGTACATTTTGGGTAATATTTGGTGAATAACGCGAGTAATACCGATTCTAATTCCTCAAACGTTCTCTCTTCTCCATATGGATGCAGCCCCAATGAAAAAAACTACATTCTAGGTCAGTTTTTCTCAAAATTTACGAAAATGTCACAAGGGCGAGATAACGGCCCTTTGTGAGCGCTGGGGACCTACGAAGGGGCGCTAGAGAGCCTAAAGAAAATTAGGCTATGATCTTTTCAGAGGCACCGGTTCATCAGACTATTGCTGCTGCAACCCCCTTCAGCAATAACTTTATCTGCGATGAATTTAGCACATTTTTTTCATCTAGTTTGACAACACTGGAAACTCAAAAAATTGAGTGTTATGACTTATCGCTTGAATCTCTGAAGAGAAATGGAACTATGGTTCTGTGAAATGTATTGTCTAAACGAGAGCTCATTCTTCAAAATGATACAAACAGGAGCTTTCTACATTCAAATAATAGCTGGTTATCGGCAAAAACGTGTATGTCACGGACTGACTTCTGAGGCGAGCGGTTTTTCCGTGACGTGAAAACTGGCACCTCGTGATAGTTATTTTTAATCTTTATTCTGGTTATATCATTCGAAGACAATAGAAACACAAAATGGGCATAGACATTTTGATGGCAAATATTTAAGTGTCTTGCGATCCTCCTCGTACTCGTTTCAGGATGATCTTCGACTTCGTGCAGCACTGCTTCCTCAATTTCAGGTGTTCTCACACTTAGAGGTCTACCTTCAGATGTACCTTTTCGGACAGAACCAGTTTTAACAAGACGACGATGAATATTAGAAAAGGTTCGACCATCTGGCAAAGCACGATCGGGATATCTCTGGTGATTAATCCGTCTGGCTTGCTCACCATTATGCATTTGAATAATTCACCATTATTAACAAGACTGGAAAAACTAAATAATGAAAAATATGTCACAGCGAACAGATTTGAATAACAGAGACTTGTCAGATGTCAAAAGCCAGGACATATTCCAGAGCAACTAGATATTTATTGCTAAATTGCATTCTTCAATTATTACATTAATTTTCTCGGACAATAGAACGGTTTTTAATTTTAAAATAATTCAAGAAAGATCATTTGTTTTAAATTGAACGAGAATTCAAAAATAATTTTTATTTGACAAAAAACGATTTTTTCTTAAAAAATATCGAAGTCAATACCCGTACGCACGCCACTGTTAGAGCTAAATATTATTTTTGCATAGAAAACTATGCAACTTTATTAACCTTCACTACGTACTAAATATCAGTGAAATATCTGAAGCGGTTCTGAAAATGTTAATTAATTTCCATTTTTTTCCTAAAACCTCAACACCCCGAGTTTTTGTAAGGAAACATTTTTGGACCATAATTTATAAAGCAAACTAACATTAATTTTTCATGTAGATTCACACTCTTAAATATTGGATATAGTTTTTTATGTCTCAGTGGCAGTTGGTGTCATTCGCAGAAAGATGCATAGGTACCCAACAGATGTTATAGTATCCTACTTATCTATAGATTGGAAGTCATTAAGCCATCGTTCAAGTATAACCTATTTGACATCAACTGTCCTTCATCTCAGTTATGGATATTGACCTAATATGCATCTAGTTGGTTCAAACGGCCGCTGTTAGTTTGAAATATTAGATTACTGCTAGCTACAACTAGCACTAGTATCCAAGAAGTTCGAGCTAGATTTGACAATGTCTGTGACGGTGTGTTTGACTGTTGAACGTAGCAGAACCCTATGAGTCAGATTTAGGAGCTGATATGGGATACAAGACGCATCAGTTTTCTAATAGATCGGCATATTTGTAATCTGTTTTCTAGTTCAGTATAAGCCAAGATATAGAATTCTATCTTTGAGGCATCCTGGGCGAAGACACAGAGTGGGCAGGATGTGTTGCGCATAAAGACATAGTTACTATAGAGCATGTAGAGTAAAATACCGACACCGTGGAAATGCTTCAAAGTTGTTTTCATATTTTTCCTTTTGAAAAAAGTACCTTTATAAAGTTTTCGAAAATTGCGATTGAATCACTATGTGTTCATACTTTAAAAAATATTGGAAGTTATATTGACCTACCTTCGCACCATCAGCACACTAACACAATTTATCTGGTAATTTGGCGTTAAATGATTGACTGCAACTGGGGAATCCAACAAGTAATGGACGTATTCTTATTTAAATATTTTACAATGACATTTACAAATTATCTCTTCGTCTACGTAGAAGAAGTACGGTAACAATTAAATAATATGGATATTTATTACACATTATATTAATTTGTGTTGTATGTGCAAATTTTATGGGTATGCGAAAAATATATTAACATTATACAGCGTGGTCCCCTTAAGTTGATTACACTTTTATACTGCCTTATAGAGCTTCCAGAAAAAGGCATGCATTAAAACTGAGCCAGTCAGGCCCACATTCATAGTGGGCCGTGCTGACTGTGGGTTGATCAATACTTGGATCTTGGAGTAATCTTCACGTGGAGTTTTATCATCTGAGCTCCTCTGTAACAGTTGTTATCATAGTAAGTTTTATTAATTTTAAAAATTAGTTACCCAGTGTCTCAAAATTCCAGAACATTTCAAAATTTTCAAGAATTTTTGATGCTTCAGATCTCTAAAATTTTTTTAAATTATCTATTTCGAAGTGTTTGGGATTTTCAAGACTTCGAATGTATTCTAGACTTCTAATTTTGCTGAAGTTTGAAAATTGTTTTTGAAGTGTCGATTCTAGATTTGACAAATTTTGATAACCCTGAGAATTTTTAAAATTCGGGGAGCTTGTTATTGTTCGTTAAAGATCTAAGGATTGATCAGTACTCAACAAGCAATTAGCCCTCAAGGATCGACCATAAATGTAAGCCTCAGGGTCATCTACGAGTATAGGTAAGACTATACTTTAGCGCATATCGCAAATAATTCATTTCTTATTTTAAAATGAATGATTAGGATGTAACTTGCACGAAAATATCATTTTTTCTTTAAGAACTTCAAAGTTGCATTTTTGGTAGTAATACTCTAGAATGGAATACTGTTTTATACGCTTTTTTTTTGCTTTTTGCACATAATTATACTTTAAATTATAAGAATATAACATACATTGTATAGTAATAAGGAAGATAGATGTGAAACTGTAAAATATCGTAGTTTTTTGCAAAAAAGGTTCAAAATTAGCCTAACATTAGCTTATCAGCTAAGAAAATAGTTCAAAATACATACATAAATGATGGTATTTACTTGGTAAACTGTGTAGAGGTGTTGTGTTGTGATTTTTCAGTCTTCTTGAAATTCCTCAACCATTTTTTCGCGTATTTCAATGATATCAAAGTTTTTGCGTTTATAAGAAATATTTGAAAGTGCAAACAACTCTGAATGGTCCTTTTATAACGTTCATTGCTTGACAGATAAGATAAATGATTTCTATTGTTGCCAAGTTGTACCTTTTTGGGGAGAAGTACGTGATAAAAAATGAGGTTATTTGCAAAATAAAAGTTTTAATTTATTATAAATGGCTAGCTTTATGAGAAGTTGACCCAATATTTACCGAAAACTAGACGAAATTTTGAACAGTATGTGTGTAGACAGTGGAAAAAGCACCAGAAATAGGAAATACAAAAGGCACCAGCGGTCATTGCACATAAAAACACCCAACTTCGATTCGTCGATTTAGACCATCTCGCTAGGTCCACCCTAGATATCACCGTCCAACATTATAGTTAAATAAAGATCAACGATCATTTCATCAAATCATCAAAAAACTTGCAATGATCTTTGTTATGTTTTCATTATTTAGTGATTGTCAACAGCTACACTTTTTCAGTTATTTCTCATATATATCACATTTAATTAGGTATATTTTATGACATCAGCTTCACTTTGAATAATTCTTGAAGTAAATACATACAAAAAGTAAATATATTAAACTATAATACAGGAAAAACAATAACCGAAGTACTTTTGTGAAGGGCATAAGGCATTCTTCAAAAAAGTGTCTTTAGCTAACGCTATCGTAGGGCACAAGGTGGATTTAGTACAGTAAAACCTGCCGGCCACACCTCCAAACCGCATTTTCATGACAATCCTGTGCCGACTGCACATTTTTGGGCTAGTATATAAGTAAGAATTTGACAAACCAAATTAGGGTATATGACTATCCATGATTTGGCAACATAGCAACTAGATGGAGAGAGTAGGATAGAGAGAGAGTAGGATAGTGATGGTGGTGTAGCGATGGAAATATTCATCTGAAATAAAAGAAATTACTACTTAACAATGAACTATTTTCATCATTAAAATAATGCAAAATTGTATTATTGCGATGAACAGTATCACAGTAATTTACATTGTATGTTATATTTACATAATTTTGAGCAATCTTTTGTGTAAACAAGAAAAAACGGCTTATAAAGCAGTACTCTATACCACAGTATTACCACACAAAATGCAACTTTGAAGTTCGATAAAATAGCTAGCAGAGGGTTCCCCTATTTTCGTGCAAGTTACCTAATCTTTCATTTTAAAATAAAAAATTTAATATTTGCGATATGCGCTAAAGTATAGTTCAGCCCATCTATATAATGCCAAAAAAATCGGCAAAATGTCAACTTAGTAGCCGTAAGTGTGCCGCTGATTCATTCCACGCCTATTGCAAGTGAGCATGATGTGAATATCAGCTAGCAAAATGGTGACATTTTATAGGAAAACATACATATTGTCATAAAAACTATATACTGTCACATTTTAAACTCGCTTTTCTTAGCTTGATTTGTGTGTGACGGAATCTTTCAACTCAATTTTCATCAACTTCAAGAAGTCTAAATCAACTTGAAAATGTGCACGGGGCTCAAGGGCCGATGATAATTCAATAATCTCTTGAAAAAATCAAATCCTGGAAAATAATTGGAAATTTCCGGAAATTTGGAAAATTACTTGGTAAATTTTGAAATTTTCGAAATTTGAAAACTATACCAAAAATCGAAGTTCTTGATTAAGCGTACTTTTGTATTCAGAAAACAAATTATAGTTTAAGAAAACTAAAAACAAGCTTTAATAGCAAATCTAACTTAAAAGTTGAAAATAATTTGTGATACTGCAATAGAAAGTCCAAAAATCTAGTACGATTGGAATAAGATGAATATAATAATTTAGATATTAACAAATTATTCAATTATAGTGAAAAAGCGCGTAACAATTTTCATCATAATTCCAATTTTGTAAATAGCAACGAAAAAAATAGTTGTAACATTAAATATCAAGCACCCCACGCTTTTGTTCTATAATTGGATTTTTTGCTAATATCCTGATTTTTATATTGATCATTTTCCAAATTAGTTAGTCTTACTTTATTTTTAGAGTTTCTGTTGCAGTAACACTCTTCAATGCTAAAAAATTATCTTCTACTTTTTAGTTCGATTTGCTGATAAAGTGTGTTTATAGTTTTTTCAAACTATAGTTTTTAATTTACGCAATGTTGGTGCCTGTCACAGATGGCAAGCTCACGATTCGTTTTGAAAAAACTCACGCAGTCAGTAGTAAGGATGTAAGTTTATATTACAAGGCTCAAGTCATCAGTTTGACAGTTGTTGATATTTTATATTAAATTCGTATTCCCTTGCGAAAACTTATAAAGGTGCTTGGTTTCCATACAATCCTAGTATTCCAGATAAATGCCGAAAATGGTAAAAGTTTCTGTGGTATGTATGCAAAGAGCAATTTAAAGTTAATAAGCGCAGATCTCTCTTAATATACCTATTATAGTCATCGGCGCGGCGTCACGAAAGGGCATGCACCTCAACGTTGTGCTTTTAGCTGGACATACGTGTGGTAATTTTGATTTAATTTATCCCACTTTTTGTTTTCTTTGAGTGCTTAGGTACTCCCAATCCACGGCTTGCTTACAGAATTGTACATTTGTCAACACTGAAAAATGCAAAATATTGGAGACACGCAACATTTTTGATAGATACTCAAAAGGGCCAACAGAAAATTTGAAGGGTTATCTACTTTAGTGTTAAACATTCTTAGAAAAAAAACTATGAATATAAAATTAATGAAATCGCTTCCAAACATTTTTATAGAATATAATAGCAGTAATTTCCATACTATGTTCAGATAGGTATTTGCTTTTAATCCAAGAAAGGTTTAGCTGTATTTCAATAATTTAATTCCGCCATTGCTGCTTTTTGATGACAAATTCATCTTCCAAAATTATGAATTAAGCAGAAATTTTCTAATGTGTAGTTAATATTCAATTCCGTTTCTTCGCCTATTCAATGTATCCCTGTTTATCAATAATAACTGAGCAGCTACTCGAATATCCTCTCCATAGAAAGAAAAAATAATTGCCTTTGTATAGCTTTGTAATTTTGATATACAATAATAAGCAAAGCGCTAAAAGTCATGTACTAAAACTACTCAATTTCGGAGTTAATGCACTATAATCATAATTATAGGCTTGGTTTCTTCTAATGTATTCGATTTCGGTGGATGCAGTCGTAGCTATCTGGCAATTATCCTGTCAATCACTACGATCGTCGGCAGGAATATTTTCCAAGAGGACCAATAAAGAAGCCAAATTGTTTCTGAGGCGGCTAAATATTAAAGACCCTATCAGAATTCATATTACTTACAAACGTTTGCTTTCTATACTGCCGTACTTAGGTAGAAGGCAGTTAAGTGTAAAAATCGAAGTATTAGAAAATCGAGCTCAAAGGATCTATCGAAATAAATGTACTTTACTGCAGAATAAAAGTGAATGAATATTATAAAGTTACATGACTATATAGAGTCATTTAAATGTGATTTTGGATCATAAATGTATCGAGGCCTAAGGTAAATGACAATTCCGTCGTTAATTGTCGTAAATCAAAACGCAGTAACATGTAATTTACTCCTTTAATGCTCTGCAAAAACAAGTTTTCAAAACAAAATGCTAGAAATATGGACCATTCTTGAAGTTGTTCTGTTTTTTTTTGTGTTGTTAATTATTTAGTAATTATTGAGAATTATGAATACATTTTTGTTGGTGGAATGTTTTATTATATATATTTTTTGTTTGTTAAGGTTAAGGTTAAGTTGAAAAACGCTAATCTTAGCGACTCTTCGCCTTTTTTGTACTGTTACTTAGGTACGAAATAAAGCCCATTTATTATTATTATTATTATTATTATTATTATTATTATATTGAAGTTCACATAGATAGCACAAAATCAAATAATTCAATGCAATAATTGTATAATTGCATTTAATAGTTACATTCAACAAACATAATTATATAAAATAAACTGTTAACAGCATGTTTTCTTTTAAGTTAAATGAAGAATATTTTTCAAAATCTTTCGGAGCAACAGCAATTATTTTTAACGATAAATATAGTTATCCACGAATAATATAATTATGACATGAAAAACTGAATAAGTAAACATCGTAATAGGTGATAAATGGTAAAAACGCAGTATGTGTATCAGGTAAATAATATAAGCGCAGTATAATTTTAAAACTACTGCTTTTTTACTTTGCTGAATTTATTTACTGCTTCTATGCTTACGAAATCTAATTAATATGAAAACAAACTTTTTTGTCAAATAATGTTATCAATGACATATTTTGTTAATGCAATCATAAAAGAGATGTATTGGCGTTAAAACTTTTGAAAGGCTTTACTTTACTGCCTTTTATGGCGGTATAAGTTTTAATAGCATGTAATATTATTGATTAGTGATTAATTAACCTGATTCATCCACTATCTCATATTCCACGCCGCGACATAGTCGAGTGAACGCGTAATTCGTGTCACATGTAGCTTGTTCTTACACCATTATGCGTTTTGCTAGCGATAAAAGCTTATTATTCAAAATAAGTCTGTATACCTATATGTTTCCTTAAATAGCAGCTAATTTGCAAATCAGGGGTATATAAGGTTTTTGGAAATAACATTTTAATAGTAATTTTCAACTACAATGAACGTGTAGTGTAAATGATGTTTATCAATACAAATTAGACGTGCTTTTAAAGCATGCTTTGGTTTTTTCTATCAAAAATAAAACGGGATTGATTTTGGGCATTCCCTATATTAAATTATGGATATAAGCAATGGAGATATTCTTAAAACAACGTTCAACCCTTCGATAATCTATTTCGAAGTATTCAAGGTAGATTTTGTCACAGAGTTTTACATAAAGTATAGCGGATATCCTTCAACAACGGTCCAGCCTGTAAGGTATCATGTCATCTGATGTAAAGCTACCACTAGCTTCCGGCCTTTCTTTTTCGACAACAGATTAACAGGTACAGAATACTTGAATTTTTTGATTGAGCATTTGATGCATATGTACTTCCAACATGACGGCGCACCTGCGCATTATCATAATCGTGTGCGTAACTATTTGGACACATGGAGTAACAGTCGTTGGATCGGTCGTGATGGGCCTATATCTTGGCCTTCTAGATTACCAGATATGACACCGATGTACTTTTTATGGGGTTACGTTAAGCAAGAGCTTTACAGATATCCACCATCTAACCCGAAAAATATGAAGGAAAGGATTAAGGATGCTTTTCTGAACATAAGGGAACACATGCTGAGGGATGTGCAGCGGTCATTTATCCAAAGATTACGGCTGTGTATTCAACATGGTGGAGATATTTTTGAGCAGTTTTTGTAGATTAGGTCTTCAGTAGTGATAGTTGTTTGTTTATGTTGTTGTTATAGTTGTTTTTCTCTATTACGCTTGAAGCTGATTTATACTGTTCTGATTGTTATCAGTGTTTACGTCAAATCTGTACTCTTAGTGGCAATATGGAACTAGCCCACTGTTTGTCTTTAGTTTCCATGGATGATGAGATTTTTTCCTTAATTTTGGTGTATTTTTCTATTAAAAGCTTAATAACTCAAAATTTAGTGATTTTATCTGAATCAAACCTTATACCAAAAAAGCTTATAAAAATGAATCCAAACAAATAAACAGGGTGATGCAGTTGAAATTTTTGAGAAAAAGTAAAAATCGCGTTATTGACCACCCTGTATGAGCAAAAATGAAAATTCAAAAAAGTAACAAATAAAATAAAAGCTGAGGTGGGTAAGTTCTTTTTGATACAAAATTATGCACTTGAAATTTCAAAATGGCGGATTGAGGGGTTGCCGAAGTGGACGGTTTTTCTGGACAAAACACCTTGTATCTGAGTAGCTAATTACCAATACCCCATAGTATCTTATATCAATCTTCTTTTGAATTGGTTTATCTAGATATGCAATCAAATTCGAGGCATTCCGTTTAAAAAATCACAACTGTGATATGTAGGTCGAAACTGGGCCACTCTGTATAATTGACAATATTTTAGAAATGTGCCCTCGAATGTCATGTATAACATGCCATAAATAGATTTTCCCAAAATGTATTTGTTTATGAGTAATATTCCGTCCACACATGGATGGGCCACCCTGTATTCCTTTCGTTCATTCAACCACAGGCGACCAACCATGGACATCTATTTTGTGCTATTTGGAAACTGCTCAGCATGATCTAGGCTTGGTATCAGCGAAAGTTGAGCAACTATTTTCTTCACAGTCTACTGAAATAAAATAGCACATCTAGTCAGAATCTATCACTGCTAGAGTGAACACATCGAGCTGTCTGCTGAAACTGTATTTTAGTTCGCTTTGTCAGCCGGCAGGGGTATTATGTAAAAAACGACAAAATGTCATCTTGCAGACTAGGCAGTTTTGAGTGTGCAAATAGATCATTCCACGTTTGTTCGCTATCTATGGAGGAATAACTCAACGACACGTCATGATCAGGCATGCACTGTTGGTTGCAGAAAGCCAAGAAGTGTTTAACTCTGAGATGACGTGAAAGAAAGGAAGTAGGTTGAGTAGCAAGATCGCATCTGGATGATTATGTGTATTGGCCTGCACATGATGTTTGCTATGAAGTACATATATCTATCAGCTGTGCCCGACAGCTTATTTATAAGTTGTCCTTTTGAATACGGATTGTGTTCAAAGTTATAAATTACGGTCACCAATGTGACCGCTAAGTGGTAATAGATGGCTCTTTGTGATGCCTTATTTTGATAGACCTTATACTCTGGAAAGTGGTCAGTTGCTCAGCGTTCCTTCGTTGTCCTCCTGAGACCAAGCATAGGCCATGCTGATGAGTCTCCGAAGCTGTCCATGGTTGGCCGTCTGTGGTCGGACAAACGAAAGCTATATTATTAGTTTGTTCAATGTCAAGTAGACCATATCTACTACAGCACCAGAATCGGGCACAGTAGTGAACCTGCTGACAATGCGAACTGGGATATAGTTCCAACAAACAGCTTGCTGTTTTCACTCTCGCAGTTTTCGATTCTAGAAAACTAGACATATCAATCAATGGTTTTCATTATGTCGTCCACTTAAGGTTTAGCATGAGGCTCAGATATGTGATGTCCTTTCAGGTTGTAACTTCAAAATGGTCAAATCCAACGTCGATCTATTCGATGACAAAGGCCTCTACTTCTCAATGCAAACAACTTTTGAGGGTGCTGCGGAAATAATGGAAAAGAATAAGCAAAAAGTGATCTTAATAACATTTGTAAGCAGGAATATGGACACGGAGCTTCTAGAAATGGTAAACTTGTTATTTTCTACGAGTATACACTGTGAATCCAACTATAACTCAAGAAAGATAAATGTTCACATCGCGAGCAAATGTCGTAACCCTTTTGCGCATGGTTTCAGTTAGTGACATGTTCCGGTCGTCTGTAGGTATGAAATGCATTGTATCTAGCAACATCGAATATAATGTTTTGTGTCATCGATGACACGATAATTTTAGTTCTAATGACCCTGCGTTGAAATTACCGAAAATATGGTCGAGATCATTACAGTTGATTAGAAATCATTGAATTTCTGATGCTGATAGCACTTCATTGTTCGCAACCTTGTTTTTTCTTTGGAAAAATGAAGAAACGCCAATCTGAAACGTCTCCAGTTATCATGTTGTTGTTGGTTGGACAATCCACATCTGCACAGTACACAATACTTGAATGTTTGATTCACTGTTTTCTATATGTCACCCAGACTTATTTGAAAAACACCAGATAATAAATAAACGGAATCAATCGCAAATTACGCCCTAAAGTTGCAGATTAAACTTTGTTTGTTTACCGTCTCTGAGGATTTTTGTCACCGAGTGACGCAGCGTGTGCGGAACAGATCATGGATTTACTTCTTAAGTAATACTGCTGTCATAAGCAAGAAGATAGTGTCTGCTAATTTCATATTTTACAGGAGCGATGGGAATGTGTTGTAATCCTTCTCAATTTGTAACTTTTTAAGCGAAAATAACGAATCTATTGAGTTTACCTAGGATGCCAGTTTATAAATAAAAAAATCATATACTGTTACCTCAGATTTGTCTGAACTTCTGTTTTTTTAATCAATAACATAGTAAGTACTACGTCATGCTGATTATCGCAAGTTCCAAATATACAGGGTGTCCAAGATAAGGATTCTATGAATGCGGCACGGGTATCATGTAAAAAAACTATAAAACGTCAAAAAAAAACCCATGTCAACTTGCAAACTAGGTAGTTTTAAGGGCGCAAACAGTCATTCAACGTTTGCTCACTAGGATCGTTGTGAACGTCCATCTATCTAGGAATCACTCAACTAACTACACGCGTTATTGGTTGCATAGTTTTGTGAACTGAGTGATCCGTGTCTGTAGTTTTTATCTCTGAGAAGAAAGTTGGTTGAATAGCAAGATCGCATCTGGATGAATATGTGTATTTGTCTGCATGTGTATAAAATCAGTGATGGCTTGTAATTCGACACTGTACAGTGAATATAATTATTTCTTATCTCTCTCATTTTTGAAATTCAGCAAATTTGTATATGCAATTTCCAGAATGGATAAGTAAAAGTGGATGCGCAACTAATTTCTAGCTTTGAATCTCAATTAAGTGTGTTTGACCCAAGAACACAATGTAATTATCATCAACACATACAACTTACAGCTTAGACCTCCAGTAATGCCATCTCAGAAGCAGATTTTACATCACATCAGAGCCAAAGATTGATAACAAGCCTCATGACATTTAGGCAACACGTACAACTAAGTGTTAGAGTTAACATCTTGTAGAAAAACCTACATAATGTAAAAAAAAAACAGCATAATGTAAAAAAAAATCGGGATGTCACTTTTCAATAGGGCACTGATAGCAGCTGTCCCGTAATTTCGATCCGGAAAATTTTTTAGACGAAAAGCGAGATAACCGAGGTATTTACTATGGAAACTGACCCAGGGGGGTCAGGAAATGGTGCTTCCACCATGGCAATGGAGATGGAGTCGAAGGAGCAGACCACAGAGGAGTTGAGAGCCGAATTGGAGATGGTTCGACAGGAGCTGTCAAAAAAGAACGATGATAAGAAGACCAACAGTTAAATTAGACCTCCTACTGAAAACCCAAGTACCTTCCCATCTAAATATTACAAATTCTTCCCAAACACTTCCCAAAAATCCCAGTAAAGATAAAGCTGTCAATCTTAAGAGACCGTTAAATAATTCAAGCGATCTTTCCACAGACGACGATACACTCCCTGATTGTTTTACCAAGGTTAAGCCCCGTAAAACGCGACGAAACAAGACCGACACGACAGGCTTTCCTCCTCTCCCTCCACCAAAATCGCAGTCTGAAACATCTCATTCAACGGCAAGCGACTCGAATAAACAGCCTGTGCCTAATCTATCGGTTACTTCCACGCCTTCGACATCTCAGGTACCAGAAGACACGACTGCACAGCCCCCACGCAAGGTACGTGTTACCCCCATCGTTCTTCGCGATGCTTCGAGATGGCGAGGCGTAAATCACAAGTTTATTTCTTTGGGCATCAAATTCGAACGCGCGGTTGCCGTCGATGCAGGAATCAGGATAATTCCCAAGTCCGAGGATGATTAGCGCAGGATTATTCGTCTCTTCAGGGAGGAAGAGGTGCCCCATCACACTTTCCCTCTACCCTCCGAGAGGAACATTCATGCTGTAATCAGAGGAGTACATGCGACACTTTCGGAAATTGAGACCAAGGAAGAGTTGCAACAGAGGGGATATTCGCCCCTGCACATAATTCGTCTGAAACGCGGTGGCGGCGTGCCCATGCCTTTGGTGGTAGTCATACTGCCCAAGATAGAAAAATCTCAGCAGCTGTTCAACGAACATGAGCTGCTAGGTTTGGCTATCCGAGTCGAAGTTCAAAAGAACTCAAGACTCATCGGGCAGTGTCACCGCTGCCAAAAATATGGGCATGCGCAATCTTACTGCACTGCACCACCTAAATGTCTAAAATGTGCTTCTGACCACATGACCCACTTATGCTCTCAAACAGAACAAGAGGAACGAAAGTGCACGAACTGTGGAGGGGGGCATCCAGCGAATAGCCGAACTTGCAGATCTGCGCCTAAGAAAAATCTGCAAGTGATAGCGCAAAGGCGCAATGTAAGTTACGCGGATGCAGCTAGGGATGCAACCCGGGCTGCCCCCTCTGTGGGATCTTCTGCGAACACGCAAAATGTGGACCTGGCAACCGCGCTAAGGTCCTTACAGCAGATCATAGGTCCTCTGATTAGCGCAACACAGGCTTTGCAGGCGATCTTACCTGCAAATGGCTAGGTACAATCGACGACAGCCTGCATTTATCAAAATTCTCTTTTGGAATTGTTTGGGTCTAAGGGACATTCCCAAAAGACGGGAATTTCATCAAGCTCTTGTGGACGAAAGTATAGATGTGGCCTTGCTGCAGGAAACATTACTTAATCCGGGAGATCGTCTAGCTTTCCCGAATTACGATGTTATCCGGGCTGATAGATTGACTGGACGGGGTGGCGGCTTGGCAGTGCTAGTGAAACGTGGTATTGACTACCACAGAAGCACAAACGCTGACATGCAGAGCATCGAAGCGGCTTCCGTGGTGGTCAATATGACGGGAGGTGTGCCGTTAAAAATCACATCGGTGTATGTCAGGTGTGGTAACAGGCTGCAAGAGGCGGATCTGGAAGTCCTTTTAGACTACTCGGGTCCACTTATTGTGGCAGGGGACGTCAACTGCAAACATCGAGCATGGCATTCCAGGTTGAATTCCACCAGTGGGATCCGACTGTACAACCATGTGATACGAAATGGCTACCTCATACATAGTACTGAGGAGACGACGCACCACCCATTTAATCACCTTCAGGCACCTGATGTTCTTGATTTTGCATTATCCAAAAACTGTAACTACAGTATCACTTCTCGAATCATGTATAACATCTCAAGCGATCATCTTCCCGTCGTTTTGGAAGTGGTTAATGAGCAGATCTTGGGGGATGAAATCCCTCCAAGGAAACGCATTGATTGGGAGCTATACAAGTCGCTCCTCAAATAGTTCCCCAATATACCGATCATAGATGATGAGAACGGTATAGATGCGGCTCAAGCAGAGTGGACAAGTTTTGTTCAGCAAACTCTGCAGCGTGCAGCTGTACTTCCCGTGCAGCGACACGGCAGATCTTTTCTGCCAGCAGACATTCGTCAGAAAATTTCTGATAAAAGAGCTGCAATTAAGCAAGCGAAAAGGTCTTGTCATCCTGATGACATTCGCAGAGCGACGAATCTTGTTCATGAAGTAAGAAATGCTCTTCATGAATTCCGCAATGAGCAGTGGAACGACTTTCTGGCGGGGATGCTTGACTCAAGCATTCCTCTCTGGAAGGTGGCGAAGTCGCTCAAAAACGGAAGGAGTGAACAAATCCCACACATTCACGGTCCTGGAGGCATTGTCTTCAGGACAGAGGAGAAGGTTGAGGTTTTCGCCGATGCCATGGAAAGACAGTTCTCTCCCAACTATGATCTTGATAATGACCTCGACGAGGAGCAACACATCGTAAGATCTGTCAGGAGATATTTTAGAGCCAACGGCGTCAGTGACAGTCGCGCATTCGTTGGTGATTTTTCTTCATCAGAAGATTCTTCTTCAGAAGCTTCTTCAACCGAAGATTTGCTTAGCACATCAGCGGTATCTCCTGAGAACCCGCATTGCACAGCAGCAGAGATTCAAGGTCATATTAAAGACCTTAAAGTGCGTAAAGCACCTGGGGAGGATCAAATCACTAATAAGGCGCTGAAGCTGCTTTCGCGGAAGTCCTTAACTTATCTCGTGGCAATAGTCAATGCCATGCTAAGGATCCAGTACTTCCCATCCGCGTGGAAGACCGCTGAAGTTATAATGATTCCAAAGAAGGTGGGTTCGATATTTCCCCAGGATTATCGTCCCATTAGTCTGCTGTCAGCTGCGTCTAAGCTCGCTGAAAAGGTGATTATACGTCACCTTGATAATTTCTCGTCAGATCACCATGTGGTTCCTGACGTGCAATTCGGTTTTCGGTCTGAACATAGTACGGAGCTACAGGCGGTTAGGCTGGTGGAACGTGTAACCAGAGGATTCACCCTTAACGAAAGTACTGGCATCTTGCTTTTGGATGTCTCAAAAGCATTTGACAAGGTGTGGCACGCGGGCCTCTTGTATAAACTAATCCAAAAGGGCTTCCCTTTTTGGCTTCTAAAACTACTGAAATCCTTCCTTGAAGGTAGGAAATTTCGGATCAAAATTGACAATGTGCTGTCGACAACACGGCTGATTACAGCCGGCGTCCCTCAGGGTTCGGTCCTTGGACCTATCCTTTACTCACTGTACATCCATGACGTCCCTAGTCCCAGCAAGTGTGAAGTCTATCTCTATGCTGACGATACTGCATTGGTGGCTCAGTCGTAGTCTGGTGACCTAGTCCATGACAGGCTGCAAAGTGCGGTGGAAGAAGTATTAGATTGGGCGGATCGGTGGCTAATTAAAATAAACCATTCGAAAACGCAGGCAATCTACTGTACAAAAAGACGTCGCGGCGTTCCTTCTGAAGTTTCAATGAATGGACTTCGTATACCATGGGAATCCTCCGCTAAGTATCTCGGTGTCATTCTGGACAAAGGGATGACTTGGCGGAACCATATGGAAGCGCTAAAAACTAAATTCCAAATTACGTTTCGGCAGCTTTACCCATTATTATGTAAACGGTCAAAATTAAGTTTGATTAACAAGATTCGACTTTATAAGGTGGTCATAAGACCAGCAATGACTTACGCATGTGCGGCTTGGTGTTTTATTGCTGAAACACACATGCGAAGTCTGCAGGTTCTGCAAAGCAGGACGTTGCGCACTATTGCTGATGCCCAATGGTATGTCTCTAACGAAACTCTACATAGAGACCTCGATGTCCCTTACCTAAAGGACTACATTAAGCAACAGGCGCAGCGGCGCTATAGCCTAGCGGAATCGCACAGCAACCCTCTGTTGCGTGAGTCAGTGGACTACACAGTCGAGCAAGTTCGCAAGCACAAAAGGCCGCGGCTCGCACTGTAATCAAAATTAACTCGTGAACTTAGAACAACCAAAATTGGAGCATTTTTACACAATCTTTAGAAAAAATCAAATATTTTTAGACCATATCAAAATCAGTGAAGCGATTTTAACAATGCCTAAACGCTGCCTATCCTAAAAGATTCTCTTCTTCCCCTTTGCTCTCGTTCTTCCTTCTCTCCTTTCCTTCCCCTTTTTTCCTTAAAATTGTCTGGTTTCTGGGTTACCAGACCTGACAGACTTACAAACTGACACTGTGACTCAAGAGCTAAGGTCCCACGGACCGCTCTGACAACCAACGGTGACTTGACTGACTTGACTGTCACTTTTCAAGATACGTGATACCCGTACGGATCTTAATACCTGTGGAACATACCGCTTAGTTTAAATTATAAAAAAGCTGCGTTCTTTGGGGCGTATTTACATGCCGTTGGGACACATTTAGACATTCATGGATTACTGAGGTATTTGGGAAAAATTGAAATTTGACCAGATCGTTTTTATTATTTTCTTACTATTTTAAGAAGTATTACAACACTAATGTAACTTTTTCTTGGGCACTTTTAAGGCTCCACATCAACCTTATTTCTTATATTGTCCGAAAAAAAAGTACACCCTATATCTAATAGCATCTTTTTCTACGAATTCAACGATGTATAACGTGTTTCATTTGCTTTCTTAGTTATAAAGAAAAATGTGTTTATTTTTCCATTTTAAGTAAGCGTTGCAAACAAATGCTTGATTTCACGTAAATGCCTCTGTCACCGAGTATCTATTGTTATTATTGTGTATTCTTAATATTGCTTTATTATCGTCAAAGATGCCAGGCAGTCATTTTGGCAATCCTATCTTGGCAATCTTCACTGTACTAAACAGGGTTGCCAGGCGTGGCGACTTTTCGCCAAAGTCACGATTTGACGGCTTCAAATGGATAGCTTGGCGATTGGCTACTTTAATGGCGCCCAATATCCAGCAAACTGGCAATTTTTAAACATTTCTGACGCCAATGAATTTGTTATCAATTTTTACTGATATGTGTATACAGGGAAAACCAAATATGTGTGTCGGTGTTGTCAACCGAACCAATGATGCAATGTTGCAGGACAATCCTGACCTTTATTACATAAATCTTATAAGCAAAATTGACGTTAAATCGAAGAAAAAATCATCCCTTATTCAGAATGTGCCAAAAATTTGGGCTTACATTTAGGTGAAGACCTGAGGTTTGAAAAACACTTACAGCACGTTTTGAGGCAATGTTACGGTTCGCTCCGGCTTCTATTTGCAAACAATTGCATCACTGGTAAGCAATTGAAAAAACAGCTATGTGAAAGCTTGGTATTGTCTAAGATTTCGTATGGGTTAATAATTTATTACCCCTGCCTAACTGCTGCGAATAAAAGACGTCTACAGATAATGCAAAATACTTGTAGTAGGTACATAAATAATTTGAGGAAATTTGATCATATATCGCATACGTATTCTGACCTCAATTGGTTAACTATAGATAATCTATACAAATATTCTGTTATAAGTTCTGTGCATCGTATTTTACTATCCGCATCACCCCCATGCCTGTTTGAAAAATTTATTACCAGATCCAGCACGCATAATATTAACACAAGGCATCAGGCTTTCTTTATACAGTCCACCGTACTGTTTTATATTCAAGAACCTTTATTTACAATGCCGTTAAATATTACAACAGTATTAATTTTCATTTTAAAAATATTGCGAATATTAAAACTTTTAAATTAAAATTGAAGTCCGATCTTCTTTCGCAAACATGAATTGCCACTTATATTTTTTTTATTGGTTAATTTTGGTTGATTTTAAAAAAAATCCCTTGGATCACAGTTTTGTTGTTTTAAAACAAACCGATTTAAATGTATGTACCATAGTTAATTTCATCCATTTCTATGTAATTTCGTATAAATTATCAAAATGGGGTTAGGTGGAAGAATAGCTCACGCTAAACCTCGCCCCTCATAATGTACTAAATGTTTAGTACAATAAAGACCCTTTATTATTATTATTATTATTATTCCGACCTAAAATTCAGCGCCATTAGGGTCGATCAGGAATCGATCCTAAACAGATTCACAATTAAAAAATGTATACGCTCAAAATAAAACCATTATTTAGGCGTAGAGAGTAAGCTAACGAATGGTTTCAGCATGCACCTTAATTCAAGGAACTGCTGTAACATAATGGCAACGAGGCAGACTGCCGCGTCAGCTTCGCTATCCAGCCGGCTTCTATCTCTTTCTCATATATGTGTCTATAGACACTTCTCTCTCGAACACATTGAACTCAAGCCGTCAGACACATTTGATTTTCTGTGGAGATTGATGAAACGTGAAACGAGGACCAGCGGAAGTTCTGCTCTCTAAGCACAATGACGCTTAATGGTTCAATGTCATGTCAAGGTGTCGTCTTCTGAGCATATCAACGATAACACTTTTGACACAGTGCTGCTTGACGTACGATTATTACAATTTTTGTAGGATAATCGGGAGAAGAGAGAGAGAGAATCCCCCCCTCCCCAAAAGATCACTGGTGAAAGGTAAATACGTAGAAGATTATTGTCTCCCCACTCTTCAATTTTCAATCGTCGCCACCTCAAAATGTCCCTCTGGATCCGCCTCCTGTTGACGAACTTATACTTTCGTTAATATTACACGTGTCTAACAGCCCACCATCCTCACCACCGCTTTTCAATGGATTCTTGGAGTATTATTATGCTTAACCCAACTCAACCCCGCTCTTCAGTTATCGTCAACAGGCAGGCTACTTAGGCGCCTAGGTCAGTCACGACTCCACCTCCCCGGGCGATAAACTCATTCCAATCTCTAACCTGGAGTTTTATGGTTAGACCAGTAATTAATTTTCACTTTACGGATTGGCGAATTCTGGGGACTTTCTCATCAAAATATACTAAATGTTCATCGAATATTTATTAATAATATTATGAAATTGATGTGATTAAGTGTATGTCTTATAGTATATGCTAGCGCTGTTGTTTTGGTTGTAAATTAAAACACAGTGTATGGATGGTTTCTAAGCAAGAATACAATGAGTACTGGTCATTTACTATGTTTCAATTTAATACTGCACACTAATTCAAGATGATCCTAGGACTGCTAGATACTGTTAACGAAAAAAATTGGATTTTCGGTATTTATCATGACATATACTGTATTTTATCATCGAAATATGCTTCTACGTGTCTTTCATATTACACATACAGGGTGTTTCAGTTTATTGTTGCATAACTTTAAGATTCGATAGAACTTTTAAAATTAATGCATAAAGTCTATATAAACATGGGTCGAAAAATGCGTGGCTTCTGAAATACAGGGTGTTTAAATTTACGTTCTAAAATAGTTTTTTTTCAAATATTTCGAACAATATTTGATGTGTAACAGTGAAAATTGGTATACAAGGGTTTTTTGGTACGACAAAACGAACCATGCGCATAGTTTTACTCTAGCCGCTAGAGAGCGCTCTCTACTGTACCTGTAGTGTATTAAAATGACAATTTTTTGCTTTTTAAATAAAAAACTGATTCTCCGCACTTTTCAACATAAAAAAGCTCTCTTGTGAATTTTCGTTATAGTTAGCCGTTTTTAAGATATTTCGATTTTTAAGGTTCGATGCATTTTTAATTATTTATGATAAAATAACGTTAAAAAGTCAGTATCTCGATAATTGTTAGAAGTAGGCTGTGCCTGCAAATATTTTCGAAATTGAAAGCAGAATAAGGTTAAACGTCAATTAGTTGACAGTTAGTTTTGTTGTCTGTTGAAACCTGAAACGTTTTTTGCAACTGTGAATGCACGAAATTTAGTTTCTTTTATCTGTTTTTTATGTAAGTTTTATAAAAATGCCATTTTTATTCCCCAATCAAGAGAGTTAGCGGATATTCATTTTGTGTATGGCTTTGTAAATGGAAACGCAGCAGAAGCAGCCAGAGAATACGCACGAAGATTTCCAAACAGACGACATCCAACTCGCTCAGTATTTGTAAGAGTGCATCGCCAAATAATTGAAAATGGTTTTGGAAATCTCCAAAGGGATCAAAACATAAATGATCGTCACCGCAGATTTACCCGTATGATTCTGCGTGAGTTTGATAGAGATCCGACCACAAGTGTTAGGAAAGTTTCTGGTGCCTTGGGAATTTCAGCAATCCATGTTCACCGTGTTCTTAGAAATGACCATAGACGTCCTTACCATTTGCAACCTGTACAAGTACTACAGCCAGGGGACGGAGAACGAAGAATCACATTTTGTCAGTGGATTCTTGATAGAACTGGTAATAATAGGGAGTTTTTAAGTAACGTTTTATGGACCGATGAGTCATGCTTCACTAGACGTGGAGTGATAAATTTTCATAATCAACATATTTGGTCGCATGAAAATCCGCATGCAGTTCGGGAAAGAAATTTTCAGCATGAATTTAGTGTGAACGTGTGGATTGGTATCTACCGTAATCGACTAGTTTGACCCTACCTTTTGCCTGCAAGGTTAAATGCTGCGACCTTCTTGGAATTTTTATAGGCTGAACATGCAAATATGTGGAATGATGTTATGTTAGATTTAAGAAGATTGGCCTGGTTCAAGCTTGATGGTTGTTCAGCTCATTATTCGAGAATAGTTAGAAACTGGCTGGACGAAAATTATCCAGAAAGATGGATCGGCCGTGGAGGACCAGTCGCCGGGCCTCCACGATCCCCTGACCTAAATCCATTAGATTTCTTTGTGTGGGGATTTCTAAAAGAAAAAGTGTACCAGACTCCCGTAACCACAAGAGATATGCTAATAGGCAGAATCAGGAATGCATATGATGAAATAAGGCCTTATTTGAATAATGCTATACCACGTTCGATCATTCGTAGATGTGAATTGTGTATTGAACAATTGGGTTTACAGTTCGAGCAACTAATTTAGATTTTGTATGTCCTAACTATCGAATAGCATTTTAGTTGTAAATAATTAATTTGATTTGTTAAAAATAATATTGGAAAATTAAACAAATTAATATTCTGTTTTTTGTGTTTATTTGGAGTTAGGAATTATTGCTGTGTTTAAAAACACAATCTAAACGATTATCTTAATTACTTGTAATGCCCAAATCTAAAATGTAAAGAAATATTATTTTCCCATAAATAATAAAAAATGCATCGAACCTTAAAAATCGAAATATCTCAAAAACGGCTAACTATAACGGACACTCACAGGAGAGCTTTTTTATGCAGAAAAGTGCGAAGAATCAGTTTTTTTATTCAAAAAGCAAAAAAATTGCACTAAGAAATTTTTTTCGGTCATTTTAATACACTACAGGTACAGTAGAGAGCGCCCTCTAGCGGCTACAGTAAAACTATGCGCATTGTTCGAAATATTTAAAAAAAAAACTATTTTAAAAAGTAAATTTAAACACCCTGTATTTCGGAAGCCACGCAATTTTCGACCCATGTTTATATAGACTTTATGCATTAATTTTAAAAGTTCTATCGAATCTTAAAGTTATGCAACAATAAACTGAAACACCCTGTATAATGGCGACATCTCATTTTCGCATTCTTTACACTTGTTGCGTTCTGGCTGATGCTGACAGAATGTTGTGAATGAGTCCAAATCAAAATTATTATACATACTATAGTTGTAATTTGCATTTCAGGCTGCTATAGTTGCAAAGCGAGCATATAAGGTTTGTTGGCTGATTGTAGTCGAATATCAGTTCAGAAATACGGTCAACGTGCTGAAAGCTTCTAATATATCAATAAATGCAGACATTGTAGCAGCTATCGACTTATCAACACCTCCTTCAGTAAAGGTAAAAGAAACATTTATTTCAATCCAGTGGGGACATTTCAACGGCTTCGTCGTTGGATATCGCTATTTGTCTTTGGAATTCAGATACAAACTATATAGATGTTATACATATCCTTTGATGAAAACAAAAAAAATGTTCTAGGATTCAAAAACTTTCAAGTTCATAAATGTCTGCGCTCACGAAGTAGAAAATAAAACTTCGAAAATATTACTTTGACATGTTTTTAACGTCTTGCCCAAAAACATTAAATTTCTAAAAAAATGGAAATACCGCAAACAATCCTTTTGAATTCCAATTAGAAATACCTCTGACATTCAAAAACAATGCAAATGACCTCATATGCGCTTATCGCTTTCAAAGCGTTAACGTGAATACCTATCCATTCTCTGAAACTAACCCATAAACATTGTTTTATTATGAATTGTTTTACTGTAATGTTATTTTGCAGGACCCATGTAATTATAACGATAAATCAACGTTTAACGACATAACAAATTTTGCGGAATTAGACAACACTACAAAGTATGTGCTGCCATATTTCGATGGAGACGACGAACACTTTGACATATTATCATTATGCGACCTCAAGCAACACAACAACGAAGGGTTCTGTTTATTGCAAATATACAAGATTCGGATGAATTCGAATAACTCATTTGTCTTACATCGCATGGGTTAGACGTTTGTATTCAAAAAAATATAGCTGATAGATATTATTATATTAGAAGGGTACAGGCAAATAACAGGGAACAGTAACTATTTAATTAGTTTTATATCTAATATAATTTTGTTGCCGACATTGGGCCTTTTAATTATATTAAGTGACATATAAATCCGAACACCCAGTTTAAATGGTTATATTTTAATAAAAGTTGGTGAATGTATTTATCTTACTGTAAATAACAAGTGAAAAAATGTTCAGCCTTATCAGTTGGACATTCCGGTTTTCATACTGCTTTTTTTTAATTCACTAACGCTCTAAAAATGAATATTTCAGCCGCAGTAAAGAATCAACGTTGGCGGATTTTGGTTCTTGACATCCTTTACGATCGGTTATGATGCCTAGAGTACGGAGACCTGTACGATTTCGTCAACTTAGTGAGTTTGATAGGGGCCGTATAGTGGGACTTCGGGAAGCTGGACTTTCTTTTCGGGCAATTGCAGTTAGAGTGCAAAGAAGTGTAGACACTGTGGTTAGGTGTTGTCCGGCATGGCTTCGAGAAGGCCGTACGCAAAGAGCAAGGGGCACTGGACGCCGCCGTAGAACAACAGACCGTGAAGATCGCCGCCTAAGATCATTGCCCTTAAGGGACCGTTTCTCCACTGCCAGGTCCATTGCAAATGAATGGTTTGCAGAACACGGAAGACCTATTGGCATGCGAAGTGTTTACCGATGAATGAGAAGTTTTGGCTTGTTTTCATACCGGCCACACTGGGTCCTCCCTTTAACTCGAGAACACCGACGTAATCGCCTTGAGTGGTGCAGACAACGGTCTCTCTGGGATCAGGAATGGAACAGTATTGTCTTTACTGACGAGTATCGATTTTGTTTAGGCATGCACGATGGTCGTGCCAGAGTTATAAGGCGACGTGGTGAAAGGAGGAATCCACAGTTTTTTGTTGAAAGACATGTTCATCACACTGTTGGAGTTATGGTTTGGGGTGCTATAGCTTATGGTTCCAGGTCACCTTTAATCTTCATCAGAGGTAACATGAATGCGCAGCGTTATATCCACGAAGTTCTAGAACCCCATCTTTTACCCTATCTTGACACCCTGGCAGATCCAACTTTCCAACAAGATAATGCCCGACCACATGTTGCAAGAGTCACAATAGACTTCTTTCAACATAATGATGTCACATTGTTACCATGGCCACCAAGATCTCCCGACTTATCCCCAATTGAGCACGTGTGGGATATGATGGGTAGGAGATTGCTCAATTTGCAACGTCCTCCTCAGACTCTAGAAGCACTTCGAGAGGAGTTGGTGGTTGCCTGGAATGAGATACCACAGGAGGACATTGACCACCTGATCAGAAGCATGCCTAGGCGCGTTGGAGAATGCGTAGCACATCAGGGTGCATCCACACATTATTAAAGGTCAAAGGGCTTTAAAGCAGTGCAATCGTTTTGAAATTTTTATCATTTACTTATTATGCTTCATTAAGTACTTATACAAAATTTTATTAAAATAAAACCATTTAAACTGGGTGTTCGGATTTATATGTCACTTAGTATATTAAACATATTTAAATTGAACAAAAACCAAGTGAAACATTTTGAAACAAGTAAAAAACAAGGTCTTCCTGTTAATATGATTAAATATCTTTTCTTTAATCTCTGATGCATTTTTATACGACTTCCATAATTTTCTCTTTGATCTACTGAAGCTTTCCCTGTTATTTTTATGTTTTTTTGTACATATTCAACCTTTTCTTTGATAATTCCATGGAGTGCAATGCATGCTTTAAAACATAGAGGCACACCTTTCATAAACATTATTGTTTACCCTCATTTTACAGCCTGTATGAAAATTAGTCCCATTTTCAAACTTCCTTCCTTCTCTTCTTTTCACATTATAAACTACCCAATGAATTGAAATATTGAATAATATTTCTTTGATTATTTCCATTTATATTTTAAAAACTTTTGAACTTACACGGTGACCCTTGTTATTAATGGGTGATTTTTTTGCTAGTATCTTTTTGGCAACACTGTTTTTCATAGATGACGCGTGAATCGTGTCTTGTGTCATTGTCAAACTTGTTCAGTTTGGTCTATAATTTAACCATGAATCGACGAACAACACTTGCAAATTATTGAATTTTACTATCAAAATTCATGCTCGGTTAAGAGAGTGCATCAAGCACTGCTTCCAATTTATGGGCAATTTGGTCGGCCTACTGAGGGAGCTATTCGGAAGCTTGTGACTAAATTTTGAACCCAGTTTACATTATTGGATATTAAATCACCAACACGCAGACGTAGAGTGAGGACTGAAGAAAATATTGCGGCTGTATCCGCCAGTGTTAGTGATGACTGTGAAATGTCGATTCGCCGCCGTTCGCAGCAATTGGGCCTCTGTTACTCCACTACGTGGAAAATTTTGCGACAGTGTTTGGGTGTAAAACCTTATAAGACACAGCTGGTGCAAGAATTGAAGCCACACGACCTCCCACAACGTTTCCCATTTGGTGAATGGGCGCTGGCAAAGTTGGAGGAAGATCCACATTTTTATCGAAAAATTGTGTTCAGCGACGAAGCTCATTTCTGGTTGAATGGGTACGTTAACAAGCAAAATTGCCGCATCTGGAGTGAAGACCAGCCAGAAGCATTGCAAGAGCTACCAATACATCCCGAAAAAATCACTGTTTGGTGTGGTGGCATCATCGGGCCGTACTTCTTCAAGGACGACAATGGCCGGAACGTAACTGTGAATGGCGAGCGCTACCGTGCGATGATAACAAACTTTTTTTCGCCCAAAATGAAAGAGCTGGACTTGGCTGACATGTGGTTTCAACCAGACGGTGCCACATGCCACACTGCACACGAAACAATGGCCCTATTGAGAGGCGAGTTCGGTGAACAGTTTATCTCACGTTTGGGGCCCGTCAATTGGCCGCCTAGATCGTGTGATTTAACGCCGTTGGAGTATTTCTTGTGGGCCATGTTAAGGCTAATGTCTACACGGATAAACCAGCAACGATTGACGCACTGGAAGCCAATATTGAAGCATTTATTCGTGAGATACCGGCCGATATGTTGGAGAGAGTGTGCCAAAATTGGACCTTGCGCATGGGCCATCTAAAGCGGAGACGCGGCCAACATTTACATGAGATAATCTTTAAGCATTAAATTATATCGACCGTTCTATCGACTCAAATAAAGATTTAATCGTTTTTTCAAATTTTTTGTGTTTTTTTGAAAATCAAATCCTATACCTCTTAAAAAATCACCCATTTTAATCATCATATGAATCAGAAAACAAATAAAACATATTCAACTTCACATTATTATACCACAAACTTTATATAAATTCTAATCTCAAAATTACAACTGTCATTTTGGACAATCCTTCTTCTTTGCTGGTATGAATGGACTTTCCCAGTCATTTCCGTATCGGCAACAAACAAAAATGATCTTTTTTGAGCCATCTGTTTACTTATTTCAAAGGCTAACGATTGGGAATTAAAATATCATATACAAGGATCTACGTCCAATGCGAAGCTAAAAAAAAAATTAAAATCGTGACATTTCCTATTCCTTGCCTGTACCATCCATTTTATCTTTAAATCTTTAACATAGAACTATTCCGAAATAACTGGCATTTGTTACACATGGTACTCTATATTTTGAATAAGCTTAGTATCACGAAGCATACAAATATTTTTGCTTTAGGGAACTGGTGCTATATCAGATCTGCTTATGTGACAAAGAAATTGCTCAGCATCGAGCAAAGAGCAAACCTTCATCGTTTTCCTTTAATAATTGGACACAGGAATGCTTCCTCAGAGAAAAGAACTACCGAAACCCCTTTTTTGGCATACGATTTGTTCGATAAAAACCTGTTGGAGTTTTACACGTACTTTACTGGATTCTTAAATAGCAGGTACTTAGTACTGAGAAATGCTCAAGGTATGAGGGTAATCTCAAAGGTGAGGTATTTTATTAAAGGTATTAATTTCTGACTAGCTGTTACCTGAAGCTTTGTTTGCATAAGATTGTACTTATAATCCAGGTTAGATAAAAAAAGTAAAAAAAGTTTAGCAGCTATATGAAAGTTTTAAATGGAAGGGAGTCTCTCTAATGACAAATACATAAAAAGATACAGCTGATTTTTTATAAACAACGAAAAAAGCCCAAAATTCAGTATCTTGCATGTAAAATTGTTGTTATAAACGATGTTAAAAAATAGCCATTATTATAGCTATAAACATTTAAAATAACTTCGCTATTTCTCAATATAATTTATTTTAACAAGTTGAGCTGGCTGGTGGTTAAAAAACGGATATTTAAAAACCTTCTACGGGTATATTACCAGTTACTAACATGGTTAGGCAATAGATCAGATATCAGATCTAACCAAGTATGGGTGAGTTCGAAGACACTACGGTTTCGAACCGATCTATACTATAAAACGTTTAATACCAAATGATTCTATTAAACAAATTTCCTGCAAATGTACTACTGGTTGCCAAACGGTGTAGTTCCAGAAAACATGGATTAAATTGCACACCTTTGTGCATAAATTGTAATGATGGTGATGATGACACAAAATGCTACAACCTGGCTGCTTGGAATTGACGATGATGAAGAACAGACTGAGAAAATCGACGACTTATTTGAAGAAATGAGTTATACAAAAATATTGAAGAAGTAGAGCGTCCAAACAAAAGATTTAGAACGGAGAATCATGATTTTCAAGATTAATTAAATAATAAAATATATATATATATATGGCGAGTTTCTGCAACCTAAGGTCGCTTCTCGCAACCCATATGCCATCGTATCCTATCGTTCCAGTCTCCTTCATGTAGTCCTCTACTTTCCATTGCGGTATGGATGTTTGAAATCCATTTCCTTCGTGGTCTTCCTCATTTATTTCTTTGTGCTGATGTCCATTTCCAAACCCTTAATGGTATCCTTTCTTCGTTCATTCGTTGCAGGTGTCCATACCATTTTAACTGCCTCTCTGTTATATCGTCCATTATTGTATTTTCGACTTCCATTCTTTCTCTGATGGTCTCATTTCTAACATGGTCAAGTAAAGTTAAACCGGAACATCTTCTCCAGTACATCATTTCGGTTGAGAGAAGCTTTTGTGACATATTTTTATCTACAACCCACGCATCTGACCCATACGTCAGTACTGGCTGAATCATAGCCTGATATATAATTTTTTTTGTTTTCTTTGTTAGGTTCTTACTCCACAAGATCGGATGTAGTGCTTTAATCATATTTTTTCCTTTTCCTATTTTCCGCTTTCATCTATTGTAACTCCTAGGTACTGGTACTGTCCGACGTTTTCTATTTTTCCGCTTTTTGTTTCGATGTCTTGTCCTGTGCCTCCTATAGTCATGTATTGTGTCTTTTGTATATTTATCTCCAAACCCCATTTAGTGAATTCTTCTATAAGTTTGTTTATCATGTAAGTCATGTCTTGCTGGTCTTCTGCAAAGACTACCGGATCATCTGCAAAGAGGATTGTATACAAGTGAAAGTCCTCAAACCATATCCCCATGGGGCTGCACTTTCTTATCCACTGTTTTAAAGCGCTGCAGAGATAAATTTTAAACAGGGTTGGAGAGAGGCAGGGGCCCTGCTTAACACCTTTTGTTTGTGGGAAAGCCTCAGAAATTTGATTTCCGACTTTAACGACCACTTGATTTTCTCTATACATTGCTTTTACGGCGTTTATGTATTTGCTATTTATGCCTGCTTCTTTCATTGCGATCCATAATTTCTGCAAAGGGACGGAGTCGAATGCCTTGCGGAGATCTATAAAAGTAGCATGTAGCTCCATTCCTCTTGCTAATCTCTTTTCTGTCAGTTGTTTTATTGTAAATAGGTTGTCGACACAGGATCGCCCAGGTCGAAATCCACTTTGTTCTTCAATTTCCGTGACTTCGTCTTCTATTCGGGCTGTTAGGACTCTTTCGTACAGCTTTCCGATGGACGATGTAATACTAATACCCCGATAATTACTACAGTCACTCCTGTTTTCCTTTTTATAAATGGAATTTATGTAAGAGCTCCTCCAATCTCTGGGAATCGTTTCCCCTTCCAGGCACTTGTTAAAAATTACACAAAGTAGCTCGTGCGTTCTTGTGATGGCGTATTTAATTAACTCGATAGGCAAATCCCTCGGTCCCGGAGCTTTATTATTTTTCATTTTTTGTAATGCTGTTTTTATTTCTTCTAATTGAATGGTATCTACTCTGTTAACTCCCGTTTGATCTATATCTAGTTGCGTGTCTAAATACTCTCCATGTTGTTCTGCCAGTAGATTATTGTAGTAGTCTTTCCACTGTTCTATTTTTATGGGATTTATTTTTCTTCTTTCATTCGTGTTTGTTTTAAGACCATTTATAGTTCGCCAAGCTTCTCTAGACCTAGATCCTCCTACCATTGAGCTAATTTCAGCACATTTGGTTTCCCATGTTTTGTTTTTTATTTTTTTAATTTCTTTTTTTACTATATATTTAAAACGATTATAGCTTTTTCGATCTTCATCGTCTTTGTAGTTAACCATTTAAGATATAAGTTTTTCTTTTCTTCTACCAGTTGGGTTAAATCGTCCGTCCACCAAGAATTTTTGTGTTCCGTTCTATCTTTAACACCAAGGGCTTCTAGTGCTGCTTCGTGAATTTTGTGTTTCAGAGTTTCATACATTTCTTCTGCCTTGCCGTTAATATCTTCGTCCAGTTTTTGTGCTAAACGTAGTTTGTAAAGGAAACTGGTGGATTCATCCCTTAAGCTGTCTATGTTATATCGCTTTGTGGGTTTTCCATTGTTATTTTGTTCTTGATATATGAGATGTTTATTGTAAGTAATTTCAATGGGTGCTTTTACTAGCAGGTGATCTGAACCGCACTCAGCTCCTCTCCAAACTTTTACATCATAGGGTATTATGGAAGTGTCCTGCTTAATCACGACATAGTCAATAATTGATTTCATGTTTTTTGTTTTTTGAGTCCAAGTATATTTGTGTATGTCTTTGTGTTGGAAAAATCCGCTTAAGATTCTTAACGAGTGTTGTTCACAAAGCTCTATCCATCTGGTTCCGTTTTCATTGACTACTTCCTCTCCGTGTTGTCTAATTATTTTACTGTCAAGAGCTTTGCCCACTCTTCCGTTCAGGTCGCCTATCAAGACTATTTCTTGTCTATTTTTCGTCTTATCTAATTCCTCAGAGAGTTTGTCAAAAAATGTGTCTTTTGTGTTTGTATCTGAGTCGTCTGTGGGCGCGTAGATACCGAATATTTTAATTTCTCTTCCTTTTATTTTCATGTCAACCGTTATGATCCTTTCGTCAACTGGGTTCCAGTCCATTATGAACTTCTCCATGACCTTTTTTATTGCAATAGCTACACCAGCTTTGTATGTGTGGATTTCTCTAAATACTTGATCATCTTTAGTGTTTAGTCCTTGTATATTCCAGCATCCAATATTCGTGAACCGTTTTCTTTGCTTTTGTCGTTTTCCGTGTAATCCGTCCGAATTCCGAGGCTGCTGTATGGGTTTTTTAGCAATGCTTTTTTTTCCACAGAGCGGGGAGCCAACCCGCCGCTACAACCCTCCTCCTTTATCCGGGCTTGGGACCGGCACTGGCAGTCACTGAGCTACTCAATCTACCCAGCATCTACCAGAGGCGGAGTTTAATAAAATATTATAATAAAAAAATACATTGTATAATATTATTAAAACACAAGAAATGCAAATAAATTAAATATAAATGAAAGACAAACGTGAATCAATACGTTTTACAATTTATTAGAGTGTATTTTGTTAACAGTGTATCAATTATAAATTATTATTATTTTACAAGAGTGAGAGTAAAAGTAAATGATTTATTATTATTATTTCATATTTAATTTTAAAGACATCAGCTTGTCAAGTTTTCCGTGATTGTCCGATTTTCCAGGAAAATGAAAATGTACCATTATTCCGACGAGTTACCCCAAATTAAGAAGAGAAGGTTCTACGTTGCTTAGAAGCCGGGATATCGCAAAATTCTACAGCACGCTTCAAAAAATAAATCGAGCTAGAGCCGATTCGCCCACCACCTCACTCGGAAATACTTACCTTCACTTTAGATGGCTGTTTCATGAACACCTTTGAATTAATAGTAAAATTATGAACTGGATCATAAAATTAAGATCCTTGCTTAAAATCTACCAAAATCTCGAGTCTTAATGTTTATAAACGAGATATGATTTTTTTTTAATTTTATCTTGACATCTATTGGTCGTAGAAGGTTTTTTAAAAATATGCGTTCCATAACCACTTATTAAAATAAATTATTTGACAAATAACGACGTTGTAGTTGATTGCTATAACAATAAAAACTGTTTTTTAACATCATTTGTAACAAACATTTTGCAATAAATAATTAATATTTTGCATAAATTTTTGAAGTTGTAACCTTCAAGAATCCATTTCACTTTTATAAAGTGTTCTAGGACCATGTCTTGGGCGAGAACAGTTGTTTAAATAATTTGTCTCTGGGATAAACAACTAGCTTTTTCCATAATCTATTAAACCAATCCAGCTGAAATTTAGCACAAATATTAACACCAATGATGCCCTCAATCTCACAAATTTTCAGCCATCTACAATTGTTATTGCAATAATATTTATTCAATATCGCTAAAAAGCCCCGTATTTAGGTTGATTGTTTATCGATTTTAATTCTTGAAGAACAAAGTTGAAGACCTTTTTATGCTCTAAAATCTCCAGTTTACCCATTATCCATAAAATTTAATTTAAAAATTATACAAGCAATAATAATACACTGAATTTTGAGCTGAAATTGTTTATATCTTTATATGTATTTGCCATACCAACTTTCAGATATCTGCTAAATTTTTATACACGAAATACCTATTT